GTACTTGTGCAAGTATGTGAAGGACTATGCAGGCACGATTCGCCCGCTGTCACAGCTCCTGAAGAAGGATGCCGAGTGGAATTGGACTGCTGAGTGTCAGCAAGCCTTCGATGCGGCTTGACTGAGGAGCCGATCTTGGCGGTGGCCAACCAAGATCGCCCGTTCCACGTTGTGTGCGACGCATCCGACTTCGCAATCGGATGTGCGTTGATGCAGCACGATCACGAGGGTCGTGATCGTGTCGTCTACTACCAATCGCGCCAGCTGAAGCCAGCTGAGCGCAACTGCTCGGTGCATGGCAAGGAACTCCTTACCATGAAGTACGCACTCGTGAAGTTCCAAGCGTATCTACTCGGAAGCAAAACGTTCGTGCTCTATACGGACCACGCGTCGCTGCGGACGGCTGGGAAGTCGCCGCACATTCCGCAACGGATGGTGAGATGGCTCTCATTCTTCGCAGAGTAGAACTTCCGGGTTGAGTACAAACCCGGAAGACTCAATGTGGTGACCGACGCACTATCGCGTCGACCTGACTACGCCACGACTGACGCCGACGTCAATGCCATTGACGCCATGCGATCGAGCACCCCAACGTCGTCACTGTTGGACGACTTGAAGGTCGCGTACGCGCACGACGGGGACGCGGAGCTCTTGCAGGCATACGGCTCAGCGCCTTCTCACAAAGCTCGTCAGAAGCTGCCGAAGCATCTTTGTGCTCGTGCACACCGTTATCGGGCGCACGACGGGCTATTACTCTACTGTGCAGTCGACGACAACGCGGACCGCGTTGTCGTGCCCAAAGACCATGACCTGCGACTCAGGATCATGTATGAATATCACGTTGCACCGACTGCGGGGCATCCGGGCCGTGAGAAGACATACCTTCTTCTCACGCGGGACTTCTACTGGGCCCACCAGTATAAATGGGTGCGCAGGTACGTCCGTGCTTGCGAGGTTTGTCAACGTGTGAAGCCTGCGCCTTTCGCGCAGGCTCCTTTGCAGTCACTGCCGACTCCATCGCAGTGTTGGCAGTCCATGTCTTTGGACTTCGTGTTCGGTCTTCCCCCCGACAGCCAGGGGAACACGGGCGTTGCGGTCTTTGTTGACCGCTTCAGCAAGATGTACCATCTTGCTGCGGTACCCGCTGAAGTGACTGCGAAGGAGACGGCGCGTCTGTTCGTTGACATGGTGTTCAACACCATGGCATGCCGATCGACATTGTGTCGGATCGAGACCCGCGCTTCACTACACACCTTTGGCAAGAAGTGCCTACACTTCTTGGGGGTCAACTTTCGACGTCGACTGCGGGCCATCCGCAGACGGACGGGCAGATCGAGCGCGTAAACCGCGTGCTCGTAGACGTGCTTAAGAGCTACGCTCACTCATTCCAACACTGGAGCGAGTGCCTGCCGATGGCGGAGTTCGCCATCAACAACTCGGTGCATGCCTCGACCGGGCATACACCGTTTTACGTGAATGCCATGAGACATCCACGCCTCCCGCGTCTGCTCAGGATGGTGGCTCCTTCCTTAAGTGGGGGAGGATCTGCGACTGCAACGCAGCAGCCGCAGAATGCCGCTGACACTTGCACAAGAAGAACAAGAAGAACGCGTCTGTGCAGGGTACAGACGCCAACAAGAACAACTAGAAGAAGAAGAACGGGTCTGTGCAGGGCACAGACACCGCGAAGACGAACGCAGAGGCCGGGCCTACTACTGGAAACGAGCTGAACGAGTTCAGCTTGGACGCAATCAACATCGTGTAGCGCAGACAAGCCGTCATTCGGTTTGTCCAAGACGCTATTGCAGCTTCTGTTGATCGACAGAAACTGAACGCAGACAACGTTGGCAGGGGCAACACAAATGAATTCAAAAAGGGTTCATTGGTTTTGTTAGCTACTCAAAACCTGCCTAAACATGCGGTTTCCGACTTCGGGGTGAGCAAGCTCGCTCCGCGCTTCATCGGGCCGTTTACAGTATTGGCAACGCTTACACGCTAGACATTCCATCTTGCATGCGCCTCCATCCGACCTTTATGTCGGGCGGCTGAAGCCAAACCGGCAGCACGAGCCACCTAGCTCGGCTGACCCGAAGCGGAAGCCCCGGCGAGAGCGAACCTCTGCTCCAGCGCGTAAACGCGCTGGGCCAAGCGCACGACGCGAGCACCGCAGTTGAGATCCGCCTCGTCTACCCAAGATGGCTCCTCGTATCCACGCCAGTGCACCAGGAATTCGCGATGGATCCGTCCGTAACGAGTCCGTCTCCCTGTTCTCATGTCCGTAATCTGGTCCACTTCGTATTCATCTTCCTCCAGATCCTGGATCCAACTGTCCTCGGGCAACAGCGCCTCATCAAAGTCGTACCGATCTGTAGTGCCTTCAGTTAGCTGGATCCGAGGACGATCCGGAAAACTTCGAACCAACTTCAGCTTGGACACGTGTACCACGGGGAACAGCCTGTATTCGGTTCCAGGAGTCTCGATCCGCACCGCATATTCACCGATCTTCTCCGCAACACGGAATGGCCCGTGCCACAGGTGCGCCAACTTACGAGCGTATCCTTCCTTGACCCGATCCAAGAATAGCCAGACGCGGGATCCAGTCTCAATCTGATGTGGATGGATCTCCTCGTTATGCCGACCCGCTCGATCCGCAATCGCCTCCTGCAACCGTGTGCTGACATCTACTCGTGCTTGTTGGTAGAAACGCTGGATCTGGTACCGCCATCTCCTCGGATCTCGATCCTGACGGCGCGTGCTGCCCACCGGGATCGTCGATTCGAGGGTGGATCTAGGATCCCATCCATGCACTAAGTAGAAGGGTTTTTCTCCGCGGATCCGATCCTGTGCGGTGTTGAGTGCGAAGGTGAGTCGCTCCGCGTAATCGTTCCAATCGCGTTGATCCAGATCCTGCACATACATTTTGAGAGCACGGGTGGCTGTCTATACCATGCGTTATGCTGTCCCATTCGCCTGTGGCCGATACGCCATCGTTGCGCGTTGTCGCTGGCCTAGGATCCGGTTGAAGGATCGGAAGAAGTCAGCCATGAACCCCGGCTCACGGTCGTGTCGGATCACCTCGCTGGCACCAAATCTCCTGAAGACACACTCTTCGTAGGATTCCGCAATAGTCTGCGCGGTTCGAGAGTCACTGGCTTTCGCAATCACGTATCCAGCAACGCAATGTTTTACTATCATGCTTCAGTACAGGGTAAAGTTGACGAGCGATAGCGGGCTAGATGTGTCGCCAGCTAATTGTCTTTTGCGGGGACCATGCTCCGCAAAGTTATTACAGTACCGTGTAAACGTTATGGCATGAAGCACGAATACGTTTATACAGAGCAAAGTTGCCCTATCTAGCCTGCCCCCGAATCAAACATACTTAACAACATCATAAAATATTTATGTCGCACGCTTGTCATCTTCATTCGCTTGCTTTGCCGGATAGTGTACACCGCAAACATGTTCACGATTTTCACAGTACACCAATTAGCGGTAAGTGCTGTCTACTAACGCATATGTACGTTTGCTGCTCTATCATTTGCGTGAAATGTTATTTTGCAAAATTTCACGGCTCCGCTCGCGAACTGTTACCCGATGTCGAATCTGCATTCCGCGCACGCACCACAACGTAGTCAGAGTAATTTAAGGTAAGGGGATCACTATTGGTATGCTAGAGAGACTTCTCGCCCGAGTTTTTAGATTTAGACAACCGAAACCGAGTTTCAAGATGAATGATTCAAACCGTCTAACCCACAAACATGTTAGGTAGATTTACTACACACTAACAAACCATTTGTAAACGCTAGTGTTAGCTATACAGTGAGTATTTATGCGAACACTAATGTAAACACGAGGCACCCTGAATATTGGTTGATGCTGGTGTTCTTGTCCACACTGGTGAGCTCGGAATTCTGCTAGCCGTTTAACCAGGGATCGCTCTGTGGGAAGAGTGTCGTAGCACCACCATCCAACGCCTTACCGACGCTTTAGCAATGCTTTTTCACAGTTCAAGTTCCTGATTCACAGGTATGTACAGGTTTGGTGATATGATTCTTTCCCATTATCGTCGGTATGAGGGGTTGAAGTAGAGCTCACCCTGAGCGCAATCGGCGTTAACCCCGAAAAAGATTCTTATTATCGTCAAGCAAATACATGTTACCTGCGCTTACACCAAGTCGGCAATTCTTAAAACGGCGCTATAAGATAGTCATAAAACCTATATAACGTTTAGAAACGGATAAGTAGGTTCGGTCCTTACCTACTTATAAGTAGTGACACAAACCTACTTACGTTGCAACAAATCAGGGGTAATCTAGTTGAATAGCTTAATTTCTCTTTCCATGGCCCTGGGCCAGTCCATTCTCCATGGCACGCTTCGACTTTGCATCACTGTCCATCTCGTAGTCTTCATCGTCGCTGTCTTCAAACTCGCCGACCGGCAGCATCACACAGACGGACATCTCACCACGAACGAGAAGAAAGTCAACAGTTCCCGCTACGTCCAAAATGTCACGATTACTGCCCAAGTGATGTCCAGGATTGACGGATACCGGGGGTTCTGTCGAGGCCAGAACATGATTGAAGATGCTGTACAGCAGGTACTTCTGCTTTGTCCTCGGGTCAGACGTTCTGGCTGCTATACCCAGAATCTTACGCAAGTCTTCCAGCGTTCACGCTCGGCGAGATTGCAGTGCAAAGGATTCCGTAGAGCACTGATGGGTGATGTTACTCCACTCCAGCTTCAACAAGTCGAACGGCCACGGGTTTTGTGCAGGCTTCAGCTCCGAGATCACACTTATCCAGTGCTTAATACGCAGCGCGAGGACGCAAACTGCCGGACTGGTCACGAGCAAGTTGACATGGTTTGCGTAGGGCGCACCTATGAGAGCGTAAGGATCGTCAACTTCAGCGTCACTTCGCATCATGTAGGCGATATTGTCGGTAGATTCCCCATTTCGAAGAGCCAACGCGTCCGTCGAGTCCTTGCTCTGGTGACAAATTCATTTGCCATGCTTCTCCTTAGCCAGGAACACGCGAGGAATGCTGGCTGCTGTTGTGATTGCTTGTAGCAGCTCCTCCGCGGGTCTCTTCAATTCAATCGTTGCTAGGAAGATACTGGGTCCGATTCCAGCCAAGACGAACTCGACACACCGTGCACCAACAACGACCAGTAGGTGGGCGTCGGACAAACTCAGCTTCTCTCCGAGCTCAGATCTCACAGACGCATTGTCATCGAGCTCGAGGTTTCTCGAAAGCAGCTTCGATACACGACGGGCTGCGACGCCAGCTTGCAGTTTCCTCAAACGAGAAGAGCGAAGTGGGAAAAACACGCCATCCGGGCCTTTCGCTGCAAATAGCAACAACGACCTGAAGTCGATGTGCCCAAATGTGTTTGGATTGCTCGTCTTGATAGCCACTTTGGCATCTCGCATCGTGGCGCGTTCATCCACCTTGATGAAGAACGATAGTCCGTCACTTACGTCCACACAGTTCATCATGATCACCATGCTTGATGGCCTCGCCGCCAAAGTGCTAGGTTCCAATCTTTTTTAGCGAACTGGCTTCAGACCTCAATATTGAATACATTTGATATTTACACTTCTAGTTTTTTTATGAATAATAGGTCCAGAATCTTGTAATATAATACAGTACGTTGACGCTCTGCTGTGTCTTATACGAGTACTGTTTTACTGTGTTTTTTCCCTTTCTTTTAACCCTGTAACAATGGGGCCAATTTATCCATGCCCCAACCGTCTATCTCAATTCTGTTGAGGCCGGTTCCTAACGAGAGCATGCTCGCATCATGATCCTATTTCGAACGTGTTGATTGGTTGATTACAATACATATGTAGGGCTCGGTATGACCCCGTGATCTGAGCCCAAGAGCGTGAGCCACTTTCGGATCACGGATCACAAGTTGGGATTAACAAGAGACACATACTAGCAAAGATGAAGGTGGCTCGGATTTTCGCGTGTGTCGCCGCGGTTATGATAGCGAACGAGTACAGGCGCCGAAAGCGCGCGAAAGTTGTTAAACGCGACCGAATTCACGACCAGAACCGCGGTGCTCGCACCAAAGGTGCACATACATAGCAACCTTATCTCCCTGGCAAAAGTTTTAACATTCATCATGGGACCCAGAGAGCTGGCACCTTCCTTCTGCAGTAGCGAACCGAGAACTGCACTCTTTCCACATATCTCTCAACTTTGATCCAGAATGTGTTGTAATTTGGCTAGGGTCGATCCCTTCAAACAATGAATCATCGGAAACGAGGCGGTCAAAGTCTTCATTCAATGTATTGAAGGCTTCAGCAATTTCTTCCCAGAACCTACGACCACCTTCATCCAGCTCTCGCCGCGTGAGCGTGTCCCCAGAAGACACAAAGCTCACAAAAAATACTTCGGAGAAGAGAACGTTCAGTAGTCGGTACAAACAATGACGAGATCGCCTCTCAGCGCTACTCTTCCCTTCGCTGCGGCCTCGTTTAGTAGCGCGTTGATGCTCAAGAAGCAGCTCGATAGCTTTTTTGGACCCATCGTACCCGTGCAATATGGCCACTCGGTCCGCCTTGCTAGTGTTCTTCGCTACCGAGAGTTTACGCGCGGTGCACTCTAGCTTCAATTGATCGACTGTCCAACTGATGTAGTCGTCCGACGTAGGAGGAGGCACGGGCCGCTTGCTGCCTAGTTTCTGCTGAGCCGACCACTTGCTGCTAACTCGCGCTTCACCACCCGACGCTGCCGCCATCGTGGAGGGTGCTGCGCCCGCTGCAACCGCTACGAGAGCTGCTGCGGAAGTTTGTTTTTGTGATCCGTTGGGTCACGATCTCGTTAGGAAGGAAAACGGCTAGTCCGAATATAGCCTCATGTGGTATCGGAAAATGGAGATTACCGGAGCGATTGCCCGTCGCCCAAGAATCAAGGTACAATAATCAAGGAGCAGTCAAGCGCGAGATGGAAGTGGCTGCTTTGGTTAAGCTGGCGACATTATCCTCGTTGGAGTGACAGGTAGTGGCCGGAGCCTCGTCGGGTCCTAATACAACCCCGAACGAGGCTTCATGGTACCCACTTTTAGGTACAGATGCATTTAGTTACGTACTTCGACCGCACTTATTAGTGTAGCCGCGATCGTCATTTGATGTGTCCGGAATCACCTTATTGCGATCGTTCACACTAGATATTTGTATAGGGACATAGGACTCATCATAGGATGGCCAGAACGAGGCCCCCATGGCCTCAGAAAACTCAGTAATAAAAAGACAGTCTTCCCCCAAAGCCAACAAGGGTCAAGTCCGACTTCGGTAAGTGTAGCTAGCTTATTGTAGTGCCTGGACACGCTCGGCTGCGTGTGGATGCCTGTCGGGGAGCTTATCGTGCATTGACCGAGAGTTTCCTTGGCAGCGCCAAGAGTTGGCGTGGACGGAGAGGCAGGAACGGTATTAGAGTATCGTTCAGTATATATTTGTGGGATTAGAGTATCCCTGAGTGTATTAGTCTACCTACCGAGGTTTTACCTTGGTCCCCCTGTATAAGGCCTAACACGCCGGTACCCTTCCTTTCTGAGGGACTGCAGTGGGGTTGCGCGAAAGCGCTTAGCGTTAGCTCGTGGCTAGCGGTACAGGTTTTTGGGTTGACCGAAGATAACCTAAGGTGTACAGAGGCGCTTGCAACCGACCCGGTGTAAGGGATCGTTCCTGGTCTTCAGGTTTGGATCCAATAAGCGCTTACCTTCGCGGGTTAGCGTGTTGTTGGTGTCTCTAATACCTTTTGGTAGAGGAGGATTTTAGTGGAATTACCACACCACACTCACCCCTTAGTAGATCATGATCCAGTGTAAGAACCGGCCTGAGTCACTTAATGCTTAGTATGGCCCAAGTCTTGATCAGGTGCGGTACCTTTATTTAAAAAAAAATGTGTTTCGTACATGTACCGAACCTCGATAAAACACAAACACATATCCTAAGCGTATGATTCCTACGGTAGGACTGGCACCTGCTGGTTGAACTACATTGTATCTTGAGCCTGCCTATTATTTGTTGTTAGTTTAGTTCACCCGAGGTGACCGCTACTGGATTGATTTGCCAAACGGCGACGCTTTATACCCTTTAAGCGAATGGTTGACCATTCGACAACATCCAGTAAGACTGGCCATACGTACGGCCACAGATGACGCCAGGACAGATAACTCCAAGCCACAATTCTGTCGCACAAGCAACAGTGTGGGCTATTTCATTTGCTCCTGATATCCGACTTACACTAAATATCGCTGCCAGGCATTCACCAAGAGTCTTCTCAACTGCGGCATCCCTTCAACCTTTTCGGCATGAACATCAAGTATATACTCCTGGACGTGGAAGGGTTGGTGCACACAACTATTTGGAATGGCCATGAAACTGTTGGCATGCTGAAGGCCAATCTCACGAGTACAAATGGGACTTTGTTCGGCAACATTGATCCTATGAAGTTGATGATCTTTCGCGCAACAAAAGCAAATGGCGCCTTCATCCCGATCGAGTCGCGCAGAGTGAGAAAAATGTTAAGTGGCAAGATCCCATCGCTTGTAGCTGAGGTGCTTTCCAAGGAGAATGAACTCAAGGATGTTCATTTCGTTAACGACGTTATTCCCGGCACCGCAGCTCCCTCCGGCGTGGTCCATGTTTTGGAGGCATTTGGAGAAATGGAAATTGTGTGTTCTCTGAAGGGGAGAGAGGGGCCACCGATTGAGCTTCAGGTCAACATCAGAGATACTAATCTGCATCGGGTAGTTGGAGACGCGCTTGGCACCACCAAGCCAGACTGGAAGTTGTTTTTGTCGAGGGAGCGAGATGGTGCGTGGATCAATACCGACTCAGACGACGCGCGAGCTCTGATGAGGGGGCAGGATCACTGAATTGACGGGCGAGAGCGATATGGTAGTGGACGCTTTCAAGCTTGTTGGCGCACCAACCCAACGGACTATCCATATCATCGTAAAATGGCCAGGCTTCCCCGCAATTAAAGCGTTCAGAGGGATACGGCGTCAATGGTCATTGCACTGGGACCACCTCAACAGCATCCTCGCTTCTTTTAAAGGTGATAAGGAGACAGCTGCAATTTCGAAGGTAACTTGCTTGTCAGTGAGGTGCATTGATGCCACTTACTTATATCTAACGATGTCCTATCATCCGTACCATTGATTTTGAAGGTAACCTGGGACAAGGTGAAGCACCGATACCTTTTGTATTGCGGACAGCAGTAACCAGTCAAACTGAATAACGAGAACATTACTTTTGCGGCTATCACTGGAGAATTGCGGGACACTATCAAGGTTTCAGGCCAGCAAGGAGCTATGAACGAGAGCGAGGTCACAGTGGAAAAAGTGATTGCGATTGTAATATTGCCGAGATTGTCGATCACAATAATTGATTGCTCCGTGATCTCAATCGGCAATCCCGTTCCCATATTGTTCCTATACTGATTTTAAGCCTTTGCCAGCGATCCGGTAGATAAATATGCAACGTCAAGCCTATGGAACCGATCCTAGCTCCTAAAAAGCCATTATGTGTCTTCTGCTTCGAAATGCGGATATGAGGGGTCATTGAATGCCTGGATGGGGTGCACGCTCAACATGATGAATATAAGACCCAACGTTGCATTTGACCAAGGTTTTTGAAGCTCAACACAAATGTAATCGCACAAGCAAAGGTCTTAGAGCGATAGCGCCGCCAAACCAGTAAAAATATGAACGTAGCAGAGGAAATACAAGCGAGAACTTGATTGCAATCTTTTTGTTTGTGAGATTGTTGAAATTGCAATAATTATTGATTGTTCCAGATCTGAGCCGTCAATCAATAAACAATCTATATTTCCACAGCCCTGGCGAGGTCACGCACCTCTTGCATGATTTCATCAAGACTCGACGGGAGTGAAGATCACGGTTGGGGCTGAGCACCTGCTGGACAGCAACAAGAACGCTATAAGGCCTAGTTCTAACCGCGCGCCATGGTGCCATGCCATGCCATAGGGCTAGGTACCGATTTTGCATGGCACTCCGTTTCCGACTGCGCCATGGCAAGATGAACTGGTGTCCACACTTTAGCACCCCGTCTGCCAAAAGCGGGTTACATGGGTTTCTAGTAGGTGTATGAACTAGTATATACCAGCAGAGCGAAGTCTGATGCCCGTCGCGAGCAATTTCCCCATTATGGCACATGGCACGACCAATTGCCATGGCACCAAAGCGTGCCATGCATGGCACTTTCATGGCACCAGTGACCTAAACCTGAGGAGCTCTCGGCCAATGAAAAATGACATGGCATGGCATGGCACGGATGGCACGTGGTTAGAACTAGGCCTAAGCTTTTCTGCTACTTGTTGAATTCTGTATCGATGCTTTTTTAGCGCCATCAAATTTACGGCTTGGTGTTGTCTCAAGATAAGTTGATGTAGTGAAACTCGAACGCACGCACTTCGAACCCTTTGTCAATGTGAGCGACATATCATCTGGTCTTCTGGGAATTACTCCTTTTTCCCAAGTTACAAACCCTCAGGTTCTCGTCAGCTCAAGTTGTCACCACCAGAACCCACAGATAATGATTCCATGCCAAACTCCACCAAAATCACCTGCTCTATGTCTCTCACAAAATGTTGCTCGACTGAATGTTGCCGAGCACGATACCTTGTTTGTGAGCACAAGAGCGGCCATAGTAGACATTCGCTAGTTACTCTCTTACGACCGATTCAGGATCTCCATCCATTGCAGCTCCATTAGATGCGATCCACCCAAACTCTTCACAGCTCCAAACCGCATCAGTCTCAAACCTTTTCCACAGTTTCAACTTCCTAATTGCCTCATATCTGAGCGTGAACCAGGTATTCTATGGTTTATCATAGCCACTGATTTTCTTGTTAACTTTCATACCTTTTTACCGAAATAAAAACTAAGTTAGGGGGATTAGAAGTTCGGCCACAAGGCCAGTAACTCAATACACCTCAACGTTATTAAAAAAAAAGAAGAAAAAACTAAGCTGCTGCAACGTCACAAAGGTTAAGCATTTGGTCTACCGTGTTACCAGGCATATAATCATTGTGGAAGAGCTGCAACAAGTTTATCACGCCGCCGAAGAGGTGTTCCGAATGCTGCTGGACCTTGATGTCTACAACTGGAGCGACCTATGGAAGGCGACTAGAGACTGCAGACGCAGATTCACCCTCGCGGTTAACTAAACCTGAACATGATCGCGCATTCTCTTTGAAGCCTTGCTTGTCTCGATGTTTTCCAAAGCGGTTGCAGCGTTGCGCTTCAGCGGGTTCGCTGCTGTTTGACTGAGCGTCTTCAGCCATGGAGTTGCGCCTTTATTCTCCATCTCAACCCTATTTGCGTCATTGTTGATCGCTAGGTTCCCCAACGCTCGCGCTGCCTCAGCTTGCTGCTTTATAGTTCCATCTCGCAGAAGATAGATCAACGGAGAGATGACACCTGCACTGGCGATAGTGCTGCGATTGCCGTCACTGATTGCCAAATTCGCGAAAGTCTTCGCAGCGAGTTCCTTCTGCTTCTCAGTTCCAACGCTAAGAAGCGCTACTAGAGGAAGACACGCCCCCACTCTTACTATGGTAATGCGGTTTTCAACGCTAGCAGACAAGTTGGCCAGCGCACACGTGGACAATTCCTTCTGGACATCGTTTCCGACCCAAGCAAGAGTCACTAACGGCGGGATGCCTCCTGCACGAGCGATTGAGTCTCGGTTCTCCACATCTATAGTCAAAAGAGCCACAGCTCGTACTGTGTGCAGCTTCTGGCCCGCAGTTCCATCTCGAAGAAGCCCCACAAAGCACGCGACACACCCTGCTTGTATCATACGTCTTCGATGGCTCTGGCTGACCGCCATATTTGTCAGAGCCCGCACGGTTTGCTCCTTAGGCTTCTCGTCGCCACTTCGAAGCAGACCCACAAATACCGGAATACAACCTTCGCGAGCAATCTCCTCTCGACATCCTTGATCTAGCGTCAGATTCGTCAAAGCCCGAGCTGTTTGGCCCTTCTGGTTATCCGTTCCACTCTGAAGCAGTGCTTTGAGGGCGGCAATGCCTCCTGCAGCTGCAATCAGGCTGCGGTTCTTCTTGTCCACCGATAAATTAGCCAAAGCCCACACTGCTGATTCCCTCTGGCTTGGGGTTCCTCCACGAAGAAGCGAGACCAGGAATGCGATCGCCCCCGACTCTGCAATCGCGCAGCGATCTTTCGCACTGTGTGCGAGATTAGCTAGCACCAAAGCCGCGTACTCCTTTAGCTTTTCGTTGCCGTACCGAAGAAGCTCCACGCAAGGTGGAATAACTCCTTCGCGCGCACCCAAGTCGCGACTCCGCTCGTACAACGTAAGATTAACCAGCACCTTCGCCGCTTGCTCCTTCTGCTCACTAATGCCAAAGCGAAGAAGCTCCATAATCGGGGGTATGCCTCCCTCTGTAGCAACTGCGATGCTACCGCCCTCATCAAGACTCAGACACGCCAATACTCGGGCTGATTGCTCTCTCTGGACATCAGACCCGACTCGAAGAAGCTCGACAGCTATCTGTAGGCCTCCGATCTCAACAATTAGTCGGCGACTATCAGCGCTGACAGCCAAAGCAGCACACAGTCGTGCTGCAATATTCTTCTGCTCACGTGTTCCACACTGAAGCATCGTCATTAAAGGCGGCATAACTCCTGCACTTGTAATTGCGGCCCTGATCGTATTGCTATTGATTGAGCAACGCAGACGTAGCCAATAACTTCTGATTGGCATTGCCCACGTTGAGCAGTGACACCAGCAGCGATATTAACCCTTCTTTTCCTTCTAAGTCATCGGTCGCATCACTGATAGCAAGACGGCACAAGGCCCAGGCCGAGTATGACTTTTGCATGTCGCTGCCAGTTTGAAGAATCGATGCCAAAGGTCCTGCCACGTTTTTCTTCATAAGAGTCCGCCAGTTTACATCGTGATCGGCTAGATGGCCGAGGGCGATGGCCGACCAGATCTTTGGGGGCTCATCATCACTTTTCAGTAACGTTATGAGAGCTTCCACTGCCCCTGCACTTCGCAGACCCTTGCCACGATTCGCTGTGATCGCGCCCGCGCAATGTATCGCTGCCTTTAACTTGTTCTGACAGCTACCGGTCATCAACGCGCCCACAAGCCACGTACATTCTTGCGGTGTCAGAACTGGAATGGACTGCCCCAGCTCTATGATTTTTCCGTCGGAATAGCTGGAAATTAACTCCGGCGTCTTCTCCATACTCAAACATTGAAGTGCACACACTCGAGCAAAGTGGCTGCGGCCCGTTTCCACCAAGTCAACCAATGTTGAAATAACATCCGAGGCGTAAAATTCACGGCGCTTGTCATCATCGATACAGGCTTGAACCAACAGCAGTAGAGCTTGATCTTGTCTGGCTGCTGACTCTGTCCGAGTTGCCGCAACGAGTTGTGGGACAGACAAGTTTCCAGTCAATTCTGGCGACGGTGGGCTGACAGGCAGCTGGCTCCCACATTGCGCGCAAAATTTCCATTCGACTGAGATTGATGCAGCACACACGCAGCAACAGTTGAGTGTCACTGCAGACTCGCGGTCAGCGAAGTGTTTCAGTTTGTTGATCACGCTCTCAAGGTCGACTCGTTTTTCAGGATCAAACTTAGTCATGGAGACCACAAGCGCCCACGTTTCGTCGGTCATGCTATCTGGTCTGCTGGGAAGCAATCCGTTTTTCAAATACTCACGAACACTTTTGGCGTCTAACCACGCGACCGGGGGCTGGTTGGTCGCAGCTTCAATCATGCACATTGCGAGCGAATACACGTCCGAGGTGAAGGTAGCCCGGCCTGCCAAGCACTCGGGTGCTGGCCAACGTAAGTTGTCCCCACCAGAAGCCGAGTATGGCTGCAGCGATTCCACTCCAAACCCCGCCAACCTCACCTGCCCGGCGTCACTCACAAAGATATTGCTCAGCTGAAGCTTGCCGTGTACGACTCCTTGCTTATGGAGATAGTTCAGCCCCATTGCAGCCTGGTGAAGCAAAGTATACATTCGCTCCTTGATCTCGTCTGACCGATTCCAGAAAGACCGAAGATCTCTATCCATCGCGTCTTCATACACAATAAACGGGGGTGAGCCGACAGGCGAACCCCCAAACACCTTCATAACGTTTGGGTGCTCTAAACCGCACAACGTCTCAAACTCCTTGTCCAACTTCAGCTGCACGTGCTCGTCAACCATCATCTCGTCAACACTAAACCGCTTCACCACCACATTCACCCCAGAACTCAGCAACACTCCACGATGCAGCGACCCAAAGCATCCACGTCGAAATGGCTTCCTCTCAACCTGCACCTCATACTCAGGCAGAAACCATTCCGGCAAAGCTCCACCCAACGTCTTCAACCCCGCCGCAATCGTCTGCATAACCGACGTCATCCACCGCATCGTCTTCTCATTTTGCAGCTCCGACCTCCTCTCCACCTCAAATTTAAGAGTGAACCAGGCATCAGCCCGAGCTCTGGAGCTCTGCAGGTCTCGTAAAACCACGGATTTATCCTTAATTGCAGCCTCAATCTCTGCATCTTGCAGCTGGCAGTCGGCTTCCCATTGGTCGCTCCAGTTGACGACGTCGACGTCCAGCAGCTCTCGGAACAGCTCCTCGACGCCTTCATTAACTTGTTGCAGTCCATCCACCATGGATTTATGCCTGACAACTCGGTAGATCAATGGTTTACCGCTGTGACGTTGCAGCAACTTGAGGAATGCGGCCACGACGCTTGTGCACTCGTTTAGTGACGACGCCGACGTCTGCGTCGTCTCCACTCTCTTCAGCTCCGCCAGGAGATTCGACAGCCGCGAGTGCAGTCGGCCGCACGCCGGCTGGGCCTCCTCCATACCGCAACATAGCGACGAGGCAGTAGCGAGCGCCCTCGAGACGTGGCCGACGCCAGGGATCACGTGCCTAAATGTAATATTTGTGAAACAATTCTAAAAGTATTTTTTGTTTTCACAAATATTACGTTAGAATAGCCCATCAAAGTGGATACTTTGCGGTGGATAGATAGAAGATACCTACTGTATGAATCTGAGCCCGCTGCTGGGCCTGGTCGTCCCCGGGGAGGGCCCTGTGGCCCTAGCGCTCTCCAAGGCGCAAGCGCTTTGTCTGCAGATGAGCGAGCTCCAAAGTGCAAGCGAGCGGCTGCTCTCACGCCTCCAGAACCTGCTGGCAGAGCTTCAGAGAATGGAGCGGGAGGACCAACTACCGTCTGCCAACTTACTCGAGTCATACGCGGTTCTAGTCACCAGATATCTCCGCTTCCTGCAACTTAACAGCTGCAAGTCCCTCATCTACCGAGTCGTCAAGAGCGCAGCAATGGCGGGGGAGTTGCAGCAATTGAACGAAAAAGTTGCGGATCTGCTCGCGAAGTTGCTCGACGCCGACATTGTGTCTTGGGAGACGCAGTGGCGAGCAGATCGCTTCGTGCAGGACGCTGTGCTAGCTGCAACATTAGACGATTCAAGCCTGTGCTTTCGTGACCTCCAGAGCCCTCGAGCTCAGATGGAGGCGCTGTTAACGTTGAAGTTCGAAGTGGAGAAGAAGAGCTCTCGGCATGCAGAAGAGGATCTGACACGGATGAGGATGTTGGTGGGGAAGATTGGGAGCGTGTCGAGAATGACTGAGGTGGCGTTACCGTCGTGGTTTATTCCGGATTACGAGGTGGAGTTGCAGTCGAAGCCGTTCGCTCGAGGGCGTTTAGCCTCGGTGTATTACGGAGCGTGGGGTAACGAGTCGAAGGTGGTGGTCAATCAATTGTGTGTGGATGAGTCGAGGATGGATGAAAGTATGTGGCTGAAGATAAAGAAGGACATGGACGAAGTATTTCAGTTGAAGCATCCAAACATTGTAGAATTGTGTGGGGCGTCGCACGTCAGCTCACCGCCTATTCTCGTCTACAAGAATGCAGTGAACGGCAATCTGCGCTCGTTTCTCGCTCGCTCTGAGAGCAACAAGAGGCAGATGTGGCGGTTGGTATACGAAGCGGCGACTGGATTGCAGTATCTCCACCAGCACGGTCTGGTGCACGGCAACCTCAAACTGAGTAACATCCTCGTCGATGGCAACGACCGCGCGGTGCTATCGGACTTTGGTCTTGACACTTTCAGGATACGTTCTGGGAGCTCTGAATCAGGAGGAAGCGTACGATGGCGTGCACCTGAGTGTATGGATCGTCCACCGACAGCAGCCTCCGATGTGTTCTCGCTTGCCATGTGCATCATCGAGTCTTCAACCGGTGTGCCCCCGTTTAGATTCCTGTCAGAGAAGGATGCCGGCGACAACGTTAGAAGAGGTGTTATCCCAGATAAGCCGGACGAGATGGATGCTGATGAATGGGGGCTCCTACTAATGATGACAAGTGTAGACCCAACGAAGCGAGTTAAACTCGACTATGTCGTAGAGAAGCTGAAAGCCTTTGCTGATCGAGATCAAGTGTCGACACTTGAAGCTATTGGCGCGTGCAGCTCATGCTGTGCAGCGATCTCGCCAGACTCTCGCTTTTGCTCGTAATGTGGAGTCTCCTTCAGAAGTCCTACCCAACATGCATTTCAGCCGGGCAATCCTTTTCAAATGGATACTTCTCCAGAATTTTTGCCGGATAGCGGTGTTGTCTTTCTCCTGCATGTTATTGAGATCGGCAGTGTTGACGACCAGGAACACGCGCTGGTAACTCTGTATCAGACCTGTTTGTCGAGCTACCGACGCAAATTTGTCTACGATGTGAATGGCGTATCGAAGCTGATTGGACTTGTCAAGCGTGGTCGCACTCACTTTCTGCGCGCATGTGCACTTGGAATACTGAGCTGGGCCGAGCTGGATTCAAGATTGCCCTTAAAAGATCTTGATTCGCTGCGTAAACTGGTTGGAGCTGCCACATTGGATGGATGCAACGCTATTGCAGCAAGTTTACGAGTTATCAACCGCCCAAGTAAAATTAAGGCGTTGGTCCACTGCGCGTGCATTACTGGAGGAAGGAACGGAGCGAACATGGATGTGCTACGAAATGCTGGTGTTGTAGCACCGCTTACCGCGTTGTTGAGGAATGGCGATCAAATTCAGAAGCTACTATCAATTTGCGCTTTAGGGCGGCTTGCCGGTCATATCCGGAGCTGCGAGATAATGGCACAGAATGGAGCTATCGACGCCTTGCTAAGTTGTTTGCGAGCCGGGAGCGACGCACAGAAAGAACACTCGGCCGGGGCCTTGAGTCGGCTTACTGTCAGCAGAGATTGCTGCAACATGCTTGTAGAGAAAGGTGCGATTCCACTTCTCGTCGGATTGCTCCAGGCCTACAGCTCAGCTACAAGATTCCATGGCGCTTGTGTGCTAGGAAGCCTAGCTATGATCAATGTGAAGAACAGATCTGCGATTATTGCCCATGGAGCGGTAGATCCATTCGTGGAACTTCTTCAAAGTGGGAATGAAAGGCTGAAAACTCGAGTAGCGTGCACGCTGGCGAATCTAACCGTGGACAAAACGAATCGCGGTCTACTTGTACGCGCAGATGTTATTGAAGCCTTTGTGGCTTTACTTCAAGGCGGCGCCAATTACTACAGGGGGCAAGCAGCGCGTGCTTTGGCTAACCTCGCCTTGGATGAGAGTCACATTGACGCTATCACACAAGCAGGAGCAATCCCATTTATCGTGAGTCTTCTTCGATCCCACAGTCGTAATGAAGCTGCGCGTGCTTTGGCTAATCTGTCTTATAAGCCGGAAAGCCGCTACGTCATTATGAAAGGTGCTATCGAGCCTCTTGTGGAGATGCTGCGAGAAACAAGGGACAACATGTCAGAATTAGCAGCAAGGGCGTTGGCGAACTTGGCCCTCGATGCCAATAGCCGCCGCGTGATTGCAGAACTGGGCGCTATCAATCTCTTGGCCCGCCAGCTTGATTTTGGATCGGCCACTATCAAGGAGTGCCATTCAGTCCGAGCGTTGGCCAATCTTGCTGCTGACGAAGCTTACCACAAAGAAATTATTCAAGCAGGAGCGGTACCGCATTTTGTGGCGCATCTGAAGGGCGATGTCGTCAAGCTCAAAACTCAAGCAGTGCTAGCGTTTGCAAACTTGACTACGAGCGCTGAAAGTCGTAACGCAATAGCGAATGCAGATGCCGTGGTACCGTTGGTAGCACTTCTGCGCAACGGGACAAACACCCAGAAGGACCACGCACTTCGAGCTCTAGCTAATGTTGCTATTGACAAGTGCAGTGCTGGGGTGATAAAGGAGGCTGGGGCGATCCCCCTTTTTACGGAGCTCTTACGTAGTGGTAGCAACAAACAACAGGACCACGCAGTTCGGGCAGTGGGAAGTGTGGCTGCGTTAGGGGGTGAAATTGCTCGCTCAGGAGCTATTGGGCCTCTAGTTGAGCTACTGCGAAATGGAACTCATAACCAGACGTTCTACGCTGGGTGTGCGCTGGCGGCTTCAGCTCTCAGTGGCGAAGGTCGCTCGACCATCGTAGCTGAGGGAGCCGTTGATGATCTTGTCTCGCTAGTTCGAGACGGATCTGATTACCAGAAGATCGGTGCGGCACAAGCGCTCAATAATCTGGTGGCTGAGCGCAACGTCGTCGAAACAGTTAAGACCGCAGGAGTGATTCCGGACCTTGTGGCGCTCGTTGGAGCTCGAAATGAGAAGTTGAACGATTCATTAGCTCGGACATTGGAGAGAATATGCGGAGAGTCAGGAAATCACAGTACCGTTGTAAGCGCTGGAGCAATCTCGCTGTTCGCGGGTCTTCTTCGATCTGGAACGAGGGAGCAGAAAGAAGATGCAGCCCGGCGTTTGCATCATTTAACTGGTGATGAGAACACAAGCCACAATTTCGGAGAAGTCGTCCCGAAACTGGTGAAACTTCTCGACAGTACGGTAGAAGCGGTCAAGAAATACGCGGTGTCGACTCTGGCCAACTTGGCGAGTAATGACGTAAATTGCGCTAAAATCGCGAGCGGAGGTGGCATCCCTCGTCTCGTGGGGATTCTGCAAGATGGGACAGACGACATGAAGAGCGACGCAGTACGCGCTCTGGAGAGTTTGGCTATGAACAATCAAGCGAACCAGTCCGAAATGAACGCCCTAGGGATTGATTCTTTGCTACTGGAGTTGCGTCAGACTGGAGAACCTACTCGAAGTGATACTGCGCCACGCGCACTGGAGCGCATGGATGAATGTGCCCCGGCACCTTTAAAGCGAATGCGTCGTGATACATAATGGTACTTCGAAGTAATGGCTCCGTCAATTCAATATCTTCCATGTCGAGACTAAATTTCCGCTGTCCCTCCTGAACTACAGCCACTACAAGGACTTTGACGATGTATTCGTGAGGTTGGGTCCGGCGGAGGGGGCAGCTGGAAGGACGCTTGAAATGCATCCGAATTTCATCTTCTTCGACAAATACCTGGGGCACTTATCAACTGCAAGGCTGGCTGGAACAGCACCGATCCACGCTGGATACCTGGCAGCTAGGCCGAAACTATGCTGAAAAAGTCTCGACATTTCGAGGTTTACGAGAGCTACCTACGTCAACAAGGTGGACGACTGCATCCAGATATTTGATATGTTTGCGTGCTTCAAGATAGCACTCGCAGTACTGGTAGCTCGGTGCTGCTTTCAGCTCCTCCCCTGTCAAGCCCTTCAACCCCAAGGAGCTATTGATGCACTCCCCGGCCTATTCGCACTGGTCCAGTCCTAAACCATCACCATCAGCTCTCGCTCGTGCCCATGAGGTTCGGCGGCACCTTCGCCCAAACGTTCATCAGCTCGACGAGAACGCTAATCGTACTTCTACGGGCTGCACTTCCGTCCTAATGATTAATCTCTGGACAAGCCACCCTTACTCTTCCTCCAGCCGGCCCTGCAGCTCCTCAATCTGCCCTTAGCGCACTCGAGCTCCTCCTTTCCGTCCTCTGCAACCTGCTCATCCTCCACGTTGCCCAAGCGCCCGTCGCTATACACGACGAGGCCCGACACGTGGGCGCAGCTGTGGCGGCACCGCCCCTTCGCCCTGCAGCTTGTCGAAGTTCTGGTCCACTGTGGGTGTGCGAGCCACGCTCCAATGTACAGCGCGGTCGACCAGCGCTTTCTCCTTGTCATGGAATGCTCTTGCCAACCATTGAGAACCCTCCGGCGTCTCCACCAACCGAGTCCCATCGACCTGCAGCCGCTGTACTTAAGTATCTCTTCTCTGCTGATATTTGGCGGGTCTTGAATGACCATAATGGGTCACATTTGAGATCGTTGTTCTTCCCGGCGCCTGCTCCCTCTGGGCTCCACTTCAGCGCATGAACTCTACGTAACTTAGCCCACTGTGAGGCCCTTGCTAGTGGCTGGCGGTCTTCGAAAAGGCAGATTGGCATGGTTGCGATCATTGCAGCTCGCCTTTGGCTTTGGGTCCGCTGGATTTTGCAAGCTTCAACGGCAACTAATCGACCATCACTCCTAGCGCACCATAACACCCCGGCCGCAACATAGTCACCACATTACCGCACTCCTCTGCCTGCGACCACTGTACCCTTCCCGCTTGAATCTCGCCGGTCGCATGGTGTACTAAGAACCGTTACAGTCTATCGGTTCGGTGCGGAGGATCCAGTCTCCATTGTGCGCCCAATCAATCACCTGCCCTCAAACGGCTGCCACTGCCAATATATCGCCGTCTGGGCCTCGGGGGAGAGTCCTGCACCACAATCGACCGACGTCAACGTCGCAAATTCCAGGCTCGATCAAATCCCCCTCCATTTGCCCAGTTCCTCATTGCCTCATTGCGTCCATGAACCTCTCGACTGAGGAGGTATCGGCCTCCGCTTCGATGGAGAAGCCACAGCCTCCGTCTCCGCTGTCGAAGTGGATCCGCCCCAAGGCCTCCACACGCCGCATCTTGCTGCTGGGCACGGTGCTCTACGCGTCGGTGGTGCTCTTCTGGTCGGCGCACAGCATCGGCGCCTTCACGTCTCGCCTGGACGTGTCGCTCGTCGACAAGAGCCGAGGGCGACTCGAGAGCGTCGGCGTGCCCAAGCTCCTGTCTGCAGTGGAGCGGGTGCCCGTAGAGATCAAGGACTTCCCCTCGGGGGACGTCTCTCAGCGCCAGCTCAAGTGCATTGGCTGGCGAGCCACACGCGGCTGCAGTCCCGACGGCGCGCGGGAACCGGAGAGCGACCAGAACTGCACGCAGATCGTGTCCAAAGGAGAGAGCGGGTACTGCGAAGCGGAGGACATCAACACCGGCGAGAGGTTCCGAGTCATGAGGAGGAAGTGCAACAGCTTGCCTCGCCACAATGTGCCGTTCCGGTGCGATGACGCGCAGGAGTTTATCAACTTCCGGGTGCAAGCGCACAACACGTCGCAGAAGGCGCTTCATCCGAGCTTTAAGCTGCCGAATGTGGGGAAACAAGAGGAGGGTTCACCGCGGGATGGCATTGTGATGGTCGTCTACCCGAAGCTGCTGGCCAGTGCGTACGCTGCTATTCGAGTGTTGCGGGAGGTTTTGAGCTGCCAATTACCAGTTGAAATTTGGTTCCGACCGGATGAAATCCAGCCAAATGACGCGATTCTGAAGCCTCTGAAGCACCTCGCAGCGACTTTGAGCAACATTACGTTCCAGGAGATCAATGACCCCATGGCCAAGAAGTTCGTGGCGAAGATCCACGCCATTTACCACAGCACGTTCGACCGGTTGCTGTTCCTGGATGCGGATAACGTCCCCGTGCGTGATCCAACGTTCCTGTTCGAGTCTCCTGAGTTTGTCAGGACTGGAGCGATCTTCTGGCCGGATTTCTGGCACCCTCGGTCAACGATCTTCGGCGTTCACGAGAACTCGCTGCTGTGGGAGCTGCTGGATATGCCGTTCGTCGACATGTTTGAGCAGGAAAGCGGCCAGTTGGTCGTGAACCGCAGGCGACACGCTGCTCCGCTGGAGCTTGTTAGATTTTACGCTCTCCACCGACCGGATTTTTTCTCGAGCTTGAGGCTTGTGTGGGGTGACAAGGATTTGTTCCGGTTGGCGTGGCTGAAGCTGAATGTTCCGTTCGCTATGATCCAGACTCCTCCTGGTATGGCTGGAACGGTGTATGATGCGTTCCTACGCTCCGATTTCTGTGGCATGACGATGGTTCAGCACGACGCAGAGGGGGAAATTCTCTTCATGCACCGCAATCAGCACAAACTTACGGGGACGTTTACAGATGAAGCTAAAGAGGAGAACTTGCACGAGAAGACTGTGGACGCTGTGGATGTGGTATCCGCTCCCGTGGAGAGGTACGCAGACCCGAAGATTTGGACGCATCTCATGCGCTTCCACAAAGGTTCAAGTCGCCGGTATTACTCCATTCAGAATTTCGTATTGGACCTGGACTTTGAGCACAACCAAAAGTGCTACGGCCGACGAGATGTGTACAGGAACCCACACTTTTACATTCAAGAGGTTGCGGCGTTGAATTTCTCCGAACTGGAGACACAACTGCGGCGTTTTGCTCTACAGTCCACGCAGTTCTCCCTTGAGGCGTGAGATGGACAGGAAGGACTGGATCCCGTGGCCTAATAACTTCCAGGCCCCCCCCAGTATATGAGGTCAACAATGGTTCCACAAGCCACCACACACCCTCGAAGACAGATATAAAGTGTATTTGTAATTGATTTGTTGTAGAGTACTTGTATGCTTGTAACACGAAACTTTTCATAAGTTCACTAAAGGGTTTATATACTTGAAAGTAGATACATGCTAATACCTGAATTTGAATATTTTTTAGGAAAAATGAATGATCTTGGACTCACCAAGCTCCAGCCCAGCTGCTCCCTTTGGTCTCCGCTTTTGGGTCTTCACGAGTGGTGGATTGCGACGTATTCTCTGTGTCCGCATCCGATTTCACCAACTTGCGAAAAAGCGGGAGGACGCCCTCGCGCACAGTCCCGAATGTGTTTAAAGCTGCAGCTGCAGCCACATTGGCGTTCTGCGAGATTGCGTCGGCACTCCAGTAGCCCCTCAGCGACGTCATAACTCGGTCGGGAATGAACGTGTTCGCGGCCTCGACATCCTTCACCACGAGGTGCTCAAGTGCATGAGCGGCCTCCTCCTTCTGCTCTTCAGTCCCTTCCTCCATCATAGCAGCCAGAGGTTCAATGGCGCCCTCATCCACAACCGCCACGCGGTTCAAGTCGTTGTCGTAAGCGAGACACCTCAGTGCGAACGCCGCCCACTGCTTCTGCTCACCGTCCCCAGTCTTCAGAAGCTTCACCAGCGGGGCGATAGCTCCTTTACGACCAATCTCAGCACGTCTGGCACCGTTGTTGGCGGCGAGGTTGCCCAACGTATATGCAGCGTCCTCCTTCTGTGTGTCAGACCCCATTCGCACGAGGTCGACGAGCGGCAGGATAGCTTCATCAAAGTCCGTCGTCACTGTATCGTTATCGCATGCTAGATTCCCCAATGCAAACGCTGCTCGCTGCTTCTGCATCGCCGTCCCAGTTCGAAGAAGTTGGATCAGCGGTGTAATGGCGCCTTCCCTTGTGATCTCCGCGCGATTGGCGTCGTTGTGAGCGAGATTCCCGAGTGTGTATGCGGCCCACTGCTTCTGAGCGCGTGTTCCCACGCGCAGGAGCTTAACGAGAGGACGGATAGCACCTTCTTGAGAGATCAACACGCGGTTCTCCTCGTTGTTTAGAGACAGGAACCCCAGGGCGTACACCGCCCACTGGTTCTGCGCATCCGTGACCGACTTCACAAACTCTACCATGGGAGGAATGGCTCCTTCACGAGCAATTTTCGCACGGTTGACTTCGTTATTCGCCGCCAGATTTCCCAGTGCGTAGGCTGCTTCTTGCTTGTGCATGTCGGTACCCGATCGAAGAAGCAGAACCAGCGGCGGGATGGCCCCTCCACGCGTAATTGCAACGCAGTTCTCATCGTCGTCGCTGGCAAGAGTAACGAGTGCCTCAGCCGCCCACAGTTTCTGGTTGTCGGTGCCGTCCTTAAGCAGTCCAATTAATAGCGGTAAAACTCCAACTTGACGCAGTGCGTCTCCAGCCACACGCGTGGCAACACACGAGCACCGCAACGCTGCGCGTTCCTTCACTTCATCATCGTCAGACTGTAGATCGTGCAGAAGCGAGAGCCTTTCTTCGTGGGATGGTTCGCGAACGCAGTTGTTCAGCTCCATGAAGTCCGATTCGCGCAGTTTGGAGAAGGAGAACGTGAACCAACTCAGGCAGTGCAGAGCGTACAGCTGCGTGAGGAACGTCTCTCCGTGGCGCACCAGGTTCGTGAGCACTGGGATCCCTTTGATCTTGTAAACTTGGACGCGGTTGCTGTTGGTGACGCACTTGCGAAGGAGATCCAAGACAAGGTCTTCTTTTTGCTGCGCTGTGGTATCGTCCGCACCAAGCAGCTTGATAAGCAGCGGGACTGAAGAATGACTCTGCTGGAGCAGCAGGTCCTCCGTCTTTGCATCCTTCTCGCTGGTAGAGTCCGAGGACGGCGCAGAGTGCAAGCTGCTCGTTTCATTCTCGCACTTGTCTCCAACCACCTCGTCGAACGGATCGCAGTTTGGTTCGTCAACCTCGGTATCGACGCCGCCTTGAATCGGTGCAAGCTTCGGTGCGTCCTCCGCTTCGGCCACCTCATCAGCAGTAGTTTGGACATCATCTTCAACCACCTCGTCGGTCGTATCTTGCAACAGCGACCCGTGGTCGCCACTTAACTCGCTCGCCTTTTCTCCCTCGACCGGTTCGTCTGATAGCTCAACACTCAGTGTCCCCTCGTCTTCGACCGCCTCGTCGGCAGTGACTTGCGTCGGTGCAGGTTGCTGCTTGTTTGGTTCATCGTGTGCTACGTCCTTGTGCTCGACCACCTTCTCTGCTTTCTTGTCCTCAAGCACCTCGCTAGACAGCTCGCCACTCGGTTGGTCCGCCTCTGCATCCTTCGCTTCAATAACCTCGTGCACCACTGCACGCTGCTCCTCTTCTTCGTCCTTGATCACCTCATCGACAGTGCTTTCAATCAGGCCAGGCTCTTGACTGCAAGGCTTTTCATCTTCAGCCAGTGTTAGCTCTCGGTTGCTCGGCTCCTTCTCCTCCTCCTCATCGTAAGCGACAGTCAGCTTCAGCTCCTCCAACTCGACCATCTGGACGGCCAGCACCGTCGTCCCAACCACCACATCAGCTGTACTCACCTCCACTTGAGCCTTCGTGTCCACCGGCGGTAGCTTCTCCTCCTCCTCATCGCACACAACGCTTCGCTTCACCTCCCTCTTCTTCACCGCTACCTTCTCAGCTTGCACGGGCGATTTCTCCTCCATCTCATCATCGTCAAGCGTTGGGTCGTCCCCGATTTCATGAGCGTACTTCGTCAGTATCGGGCCTTGGCGGACCAGAACCCGTCGGCTCGCAGTCGGCTCCTGGTCGGTCAGGATCCTCTTCCTGGCAACCACAACCTGCTGCTTGTCGGCGAGCAGCGCCGCGTGGATCTGGTCGTGCGTGAGCTTGATGTCGCCGTGCATGTCCTCGAGCTTGGCGAACAGTCTGGCGGCGTTTGACGAGGCTGCGGCCGCGCCGTCCAGGACCGCCACGACCGTGGCGAGGTTGAGCATGCGGTAGAGCTGGTCGATCTCGTCCACGATCCTGAGGCGCTGCTCCTCCATGGTCGTGAACTTGAACAGGCGGACGACCCGGTGCATGTCGTGGTACTTCTGCAGGTACAGTAGGAACTTGGTCACCGCGGCCGAGAACTTGTCCAGCGTGGCAGTGCGCGCCAGCGTGGCGTTGGTTTGAATGCCTCCGGACGACTGCAGCTCCACGTAGATCTCCATCATGCGCAGGTACGTGCGGCGGTTGACGTGGCGCTGGCGGCGGATGGCGTCCCGCAGCTCGTAGATCTGGCGCAGGATGTCGACGATGTTCAACGCGAGGTCCATGGCGGCGACTTGAGTCCCGGGTGAGAGCTTGGAGGCGAATTCCGGAATGAACGGACTGCGAGCGATGGAAAATGTCGGTGGGCTACGCCGACACCCGGTCGACTTCAAGAGCGAAAAGTGCCCCGTTTGACTTGCACGTAAGCTGATTTTTAACGGTCTCGGGGTCTTGGGGGCACTTGAGGTCACGTGAACGCGCAGGTATTGTAAGGGGAAGCGCAGTGCCGTCATCACGGAATGCAGGCGAACGCAGCCTTACAAAGGCAGGGTGTGTGTTGGGGCTTTGCTTATGTGCAGTGCTGCACTTGGGCAGCGGCAAATTCCTGCCAGCAAAATATTGTTGAACAAATATTGATGATCGATGGTAGCCGTCGCTTTTTTGACTCGGTGTATCGGGAAGATCCAAAAGCCCACGGGATCACTTGATCACTTTACCTTGGCCGCTCTTGCACCGTCTGCCTGAAAATGCCAAGCGTCCACGCATCAGCAGCTCGCAGCTAGACCCAAGCTGTACAGGTACATCGGCGGTTGGTCACCGCTCGCAACCGCAGGGTTGCCTGCGTTGATATGAGCTCAAAACTATCAAACAAACTTCTAGAGCGAGAATTGCAGCTTCCGGGCGCGAATACCGTAGCGTTAACCCAGTCAGCACCTCGCAACTCGGATGGGGCACGAAGCAACATGAGTCAGCAGTGCCACCGTGCAATCTGATTATGAGAAGCTGGGACAGCAGCCCAAAAAATGAAGTCCACCTCAACAACATTTTGGCCAAATCAGGGAAATGCTCGGGAAATAAAAATCGTATGCATAATGACAGGCCGGAAGATGGCCAAAATTCAGCCATGTCCGATCAAGTCGGCATGATGCACAATGCTCGAAATCGCTCCCGACCGCTGCCGCTCTCGCCCCGCTACTGCCATGCAAATCGTCCCGGTAAGTGTTCGTACAGCAGCACTACAGTACTGACGAGCTCCAACCGATGCAAGCCATTCGCGCCAGTGGTAACTTAGTGTCGCCAACCACACGGTGACGTGCTGACGATCGTAACAGCCCTCTTCACCTCCTGTTAGAATAGCGACGAGGACGCCCATTTCCTCCGGAATTCAACATGCGCGGATAAATGCAGCTCTGCCCAAAGATGCTACACGCACACATGATGCTTTTGGACGGAGGCGAAAAGAGGTTTTTCAAGAGTGAGAGGCACCAATCGGGTTCAAGGTCGTCTTCAACTCTTATCGTGCTCTAGCAGCGCTTAAAGTACACCTGAGACGACCCAGCAACTAGTCGAAGTCGCCCAAGCTCATTCTCAATTCTCCCGTCGCCAAACCAACCAGCTCCAAGTCCTCATCGCCGCGCGAACCCTCCACACCTCACCCAGGGTTCACGCCTAAGGCGTGCCAACGCGCGGCTGCTTCGTAATCTCTTAATGTCAAGTCTTACTTTGATCCCCACATCATGCAGCACGCTCATCCTATTCTATGCCGATGCCACGACCGAAAAGCCATCCACCTCGGAAGCGCATTTCCGCGAAGATAAGCATCCATATCTCCGCTGTGTTCGAGGTTCCTCTCTACAGTAGACTTTGGACAGTATCCCCTTCATGAGGCTAAACGCATCGATGAACATCTTCACACCGATAGCAGGTCGGCGGTCGTTCCGCTCTCCTCACTGCTCGACTTCAACCTTCTGTGGCAAAATCGATCGCGGGATTTATGCCCCCAAACGTGCAGCTTTTGAAAGTGGGGGGGGGGCTTGTGTTGAAGACGCCTTCCGGGCGGAGCTTGTCTGGTCTCGTTCACCTCTCGTTGATCCTTGAATGCACCTCAGCCATGGAACCATCAAAGAACATGAAGCCATGGATGGTGTTGGCTGGTTTTAGAGACTTTCAGGTTGAGGTGCTTTTGGAAAAATCGCCAAGAATACACAGCGAGTCAACCGCTAAGAAGCTGTTTCAACTTCGGTTTTGGCGCTCAAACCCCAAACGTGAAAACATTGGATGGTATTGCTTAAGTCATTGAAAGTATACAACGCTACGCGTAATGCACTTTTCCCTTGCCTAGCTGGCCACCCAGCCCACAGCAACACTACGCAGCAAATCCCCAACATTGGGCACTTCGACTACCTTTGGTCGAAGCGTTTCCAGCGCCTCCTGAGCCAACTGTTTCTGGTCTTCAGTGCCCGTGTTCACGAGCATTTCAAGTAGAGGGATCGCCCCCTCCCTCACGATCGTGTCCCTGTTGTCGTCGCTCACACTCGCCAGCTTCTGGATCGCAACTACAGCGTTTGCCTTCTGCGAGGTCGTCCCAACGTGGAGAAACCTCACCAAAGCCGCTACAACTTTCTCCGACGGGAAGGAATAGTCCTCATCACAGTCGCAGGCGAGACTTCCCAGTGCTCGAACTGCTTGGGCTTGCTGGTCTTCCGTTCCTCCGAGCGCAAGCGCCAGTAGCGGAGTGACCGCTCCCTCCTTCACAATGGCCCATCGGTTTGCGTCGTTGTTCTCGGCCAGGCACGCGAGCGCGTAGGCGGCCCATTGCTTCTGCTCGCTCGTCCCAGCGTGCAGCAGCCCTACCAACGGGGCGATGGCTCCTTCTCGTCCGATCTCGTCTCGATTGCCGTCGTCACTCGCTGCGAGGTTCCCGAGCGTATACGCCGCCTCCTGTTTCTGCGGGTCGGACCCCGTCCGCACGAGCTCCACGAGCGGCAAGATGGCTTCGTCCAGCTCGATCGCCGCCTCGTTATCGCACGCGAGGTTGCCCAACGCGTACGCCGCCCACTGCTTCTGAGCGTCCGTGCCGACCTCCAGCAGCGTCACGAGCGGCTTGATAGCCCCTTCGAGCGTGATTTCGGCTCGGTTGTTGTCGTTGTAGGCGAGGTTCCCGATGGTGTACGCTGCCCACTGCTTCTGGGCGCTGGCCCCCACTCGCAGCAGCTTCACCAGCGGAGCGATAGCTCCTTCTTGGGCGATGGCGACGCGGTTCGCTTCGTTGCTCAGTGACAGAGTCCCCAGGGCGTACACGGCCCATTGGTTCTGAGCATCCGTCACGGCCTTGACGAACGCCACCATGGGAGGGATGGCGCCTTCACGCGCGATCGTGGCGCGGTTCACGTCGTTGTCGGCTGCTAAGTTGCCCAGAGCGTACGCCGCCTCCTGCTTCTGCATGTCCGTGCCGGACCGCAGTAGCGCGACTAACGGGTGTATAGCTTTCTCTCGAGCGATGGCCACGCAGTTATCGTCGTTGTTGCTGGCCAGAGTCCCCAGCGCCTCGGCAGCCCAGAGCTTCTGGTTGACAGTGCCGTGCTCCAAGAGGTTGACGAGCGGCGCCAGCACTCCGACAGTGCGTAGGATCTCCACGTCGCCTCGAGTGGCCATGCACGAGCACAGGATGGCTGCGTCCTCCTTCTCCTGGTCCGTTCCGAGCTTGAGGTCGTGGATCAGCGACTGAATCTGCAGCGGAGCCGCCGGGGGAATGCAGCCGCGCAGTGTCTCGAACTCCATCTCGGGCATCTTGGAGTAGATGAAGGTGAACCAGCTCAGACAGTGCAGAGCGTAGAGCTGCGTGAAGTAGCTCTCGTCTCCGCGCACCAAGCCGGCGAATAGCTGGATCCCGTCGGCCTTGTACACTTGCACTCGGCTGTTGCTGGTCACGCACTTGCGGATGAGCGCCAAGAGCGTCTTGTCCTTGGCTTTCGTTTGATCCGAGCCCAGGGACTCCATGAGCAACGGGACGGACAGACTGTCCACAGCGGGCGAGTGACTCCGCTTGAGCACCGGCTTCTGGGCGACGAGCTCCTTCTCCTCTTGGTCGCTCATGCGCTTCTCCACGAGCCCCAGCAGCGCTGCTTGGACCTGGTCGTGGGTCAGTTTGACGTCCGCGTGCACGTCCTGCAGCTTGGAGAGGAACTTGGCCGCGTTCTTGGCCGCCGACGCGTCGCCGTTCATGACCGTCACGGACGTGGCGAGCCCGAGCATGCGGAAGAGTTGGTCGATCTCGGCCACGATCTCCAGGCGCTCGGCCTCCATGTCGCTGCGCTTGAAGAAGCGCAGGAAGCGGTTCATGTCGTTGTACTTTTGCAGGTACGCGACGAAGTTGGTGACCGCCAGGGCGAACTTCTTGACGGTGGCGGTGCGACGCAGAGTCGCGTTGTCCTGGAGGGGCCCGTTGCGGTTCAATAGCTGGAGCTCGACGTGGATCTCGGTCAGTTGCAGGTACGTCTGCTTGTTGACGCGACGTTGGTGGCGAATGGCTTCTCGCAGCTCGAAGATCTTGACGAGCCCTTGGACCACGTTGATGGCGGTGCACATTGGTGAATCGAGTGAGTGAATGAGTGAATTGAGTCGTTGGAGGTGAGTTTGAGAATGACTTGGGAGTTGAGAGGCATTGTAGTGGAAAACGTTTCGGACTGCGATCGACGCGGATCTCGGTGAGACTTGAGGCGGTTTGACGCACGTGGCTTTGAGGCCGAGCTGGGCTGGGCTGGGTGGACCTGGACACCCTTTCAAGGGCTCAGTTGAGTTGAAATGGAGACTGCCTCGTCCGACATTGACGATCCCGCGCGCTTTGCCTGGAGATCAAAATTTGGAGTGTCGCCTATTTTTCACACCCTCCACGCTCGCTGCTCGGACGGCGCTGCGCTCCACACATTGCTGGCTCAGCGTCGAGTTTGTTGTCGTCAAACTCGAAAAAAATGTGTATTTTATTGCTTTGTGTTGAAATTCCCATAAGCTCGAGCTACAATTGAAGTCTGAATTGGGAATGTTTTCACGGAAATCTGCTCCATGTATACGAGTCATTTTCGTGGTAAAGCTGGATTCGTTTCATACATTTATCGGTGTTTCCCACGTTTTCGAGGAATTTTGCCCCGAGTTGAATTTGCTCGGCTAGGAAGGCTGCAGACTTCGTACAGACCACGCCAGTCAAGCGCAGCAGCCTAGCGACCATAACAGCCTTCATTTCGCATACCCGACCTCGACAGGTAGAACCACTCTCGAGATCACTCGATCGATGAAAGTCGGACCAAGTTGGACTTCGTTGAATCTTAGGCGCTGGAGGCGTGCGGAGACGCACCAAAGCTGGCAATTTCACAGATTAAAACCACTTCTAGCACTTATTCACCGCAACTGGGCCTGCAACTGCCCTCGGTACACGTAGTCACGTTTGTATTCGTGTGTGGCGACCAAGCTCGAGCTGCAACATGCAACAGGCTGCTACTTACTATCTCACGCACTCAGCCCGTCTGAAATGGGCCAAAAGATCCCATTTCGATGATAGCGAGCCATTTCCTGCAGCTGCAGGAAAGTTCTCTCCGAGCAGGAGATTGTGAGAGTGAAGAGGCTGCATGAGTTAGACGTGTGGTTGGGCGCTAAGACTTGAGTTGATGGTGTTGCCAGCAAGCTACCGAGAACGAGCTTGTGCGCCGCTGCTGGCTACGGCGAAACGGCCTCACTCAGACCGAAGTGTGAGCATCAACTAACTATCCGAACGCACTGTACTGCTGGTAGTTCAGCTGACTCATTGCCTATTGTCCACTTCAAGGATCCCAGCCAACATCTACTACACCTCTATACAAGTGTCGCGAATCGCTAGTCGAGACAGTCGGGCATTTCTTTTGTGTTAACTCTGTGGAAATGTCTCGTACATTTTGGGCCTTTGGTTGTTGGTCGTGAATTGCGCTCATTCACCAGCCAATACCTAAGTTACTGTACAATTCGCTTTCCTGCAACCTGTTCGGGGAACACTTCGTTGAAAACGCGTCGTGATTTGTAAGTACTTACAGTACGCCCTAGTGAAAGAGAGCAATTGACTGGCGGAGCGAGGCAACTGCAGTCAAAGATCGCGGTGAGGTTGCGTCGCCCTGAACGCGAGTCTGCTTGAACTCAACGAGTTGCACCACTTTGTGAATGAATCGGTCAAGATGGCCAAAATTGTCATTCCAGGAGTGGTTGGTCCAAGATGCAAGCCTTCTGCTTTTTTGTTTACTTCTGAAAATGGTCAACCATTTCTACGTCTAGCTTTAGCCTAACTACACCCCTTGCGTTGTAGTTTTGAAGTATGTACGACTGGTTCAATCCGATGCTGGCATACCGCTGCGTCTGGATCTGCATCAAGTTCTCTATCCATTCTGCGGGAAACTTTATTTTACGGGCGAGTTCGGTGATCCCGGGAACTATCAAACAGTAAAAAATGTGATTGGTGGGGCGTTTTTCGCAAAATACAGGATCTGCTGGCAGTGCTCACCTCGAACAAGTTGCCTTTTCAACAAGCTCGAGAAATCACTCGCTGCCAGAGCTAGCATCGCACGGAGGCTCATTTTATTATGAAGTAACAAGCAGGCTCGGTATCTAAGGTCTGGTTTCAAACCGCACCCGCTGACCCTATGCAACATCAGTGTGCACATCCGATAAGCGTGGCAACCGCGTGCTCACATTGTGTCTTCCGCCACTCCGCACGCGAGAGTACATGGACACCGCTCGCTACCATCCCGTACTTGGAACCGCCTAAAGGACCTCTTCTCGTCCGAGGGGAATGTTCCCAAACAATGTAGTGAGTCGGGGACGAGGTCCTGATACATGCAGCATCTTCAATACCGGGACGGTGACCAGTTCAACCACTCCATGCCTGCACAACTCAACGCATGTAAGCAGCTAGCCTTCACAAGCAGCTCCGGGGTAATACGGCCTCTTGATCCTGACAAAATTCCCTGAAGTCTGGCCACCTGAATTCTCAAGAAATGCTTCAACTTGGACTTCCAGTACTCGCTTTCCGTGCTCCAAACCATCGTCATCAGCCTGGGGTGCTTCACAGGCAAGCTGTCAAAGATAGTGATCGACAACACAGGCAAAAATCTAACGTTATAATACTCTGTTCCAGTCCTGGGAGACCGACCGATCGAGTCAACGGCTTTTCAAGATCTACGATCCACCACGTGCGACTTTTCATTGCGCGTCCCTCCTGCTGGAGCTGCGCAGCAGACCCGTCACTAGAGCATCGATATCCACGTCCTGTCAAGGCCCAGCGCGGGGACTAATTGATTGCCCATGCGGAGTGTGTTGGCGTGGAGCGACAAAGTGCCCGAGCGCAACGGGGAGAAGTTCGTGGTGCAGGATTTGGCCTTCCGACCGGACGGGACTCAAGTCGTCGCTGCTGTGGGCACCCGCGTGCTGGTGTACGACGCCGTGGACGGCACGTTGCTGCACTCGCTCAAGGGCCACAAGGGGACGGTCTACGCCGTGGACTACTCGCACGACGGCAAGCGGTTCGCCTCGGGTGGGGCGGACAACATCGTCATCATCTGGACGGACAAGGCCGAGGGTATCCTCAAGTACACGCACAACGACAGCATCCAGAAGCTGGCCTACAACCCGCAGTCGCAGTGTCTGGCGAGCTGCACGGCGTCCGACTTCGGGCTCTGGGCCCCGGAGCAAAAGTCCGTGGCCAAGCACAAGGTGGTGGCCAAGATCCTGTCGGCCTGCTGGAGCAAAGACGGCCAGTTGCTGGCCCTCGGTCTGCTCAATGGCAACGTGACCCTGCGCGACAAGCTCGGAGCCGAGAAGAGACTCATCGAGCGCTCGAATGCGCCCGTGTGGGCGTTGGCCTGGAGTCCAGCGCACGAGGATGACTCGACGGATATTCTGGCCGTCGGGTGCTGGGACCGAACCCTCGCGTTCTACACCCCCAGCGGAGTTATGCAAGGCAAAGCGCGCAAACTCGCGTTTAACCCCACGAGTCTCACGTACTTCAGGTTCGGAGGAGGTCTCCGTGTCATTTTATGGTCGATGCGGCTCTAATGTGTTTTGTTTGATGATCTAGCAAGGGAAAGTATCTTCTCGTTGGTGGCAGCAATCGGAAGGCGGGACTCTACACTAAGGACGGCATTTTTCTCGTCGGGTAGGACTCTAGCCAGGGAGATATTAACTGCAAGTGCTGCTAGTCTAAGGTTATTCATTGATTTGTACAGAATTTGCGAGCAGGAGAGTTGGGTTTGGGCGATCAAGGCGCGGCCGAAGACGAATTTCGTGGGCGTGGGGAGTGAGGACGGCACGCTGTCGATGTACTGCCTCGTGTTTGGCACCGTGCACGGCATCTACCAAGAGCGCTACGCCTACCGCGAGCATCTCACGGATGTGATCGTGCAGCACTTGATGACGGAGCAAAAGGTGCGCATCAAGACTCGAGACTGCGTCAAGAAGCTCAGCGTCTACCGCGACCGCCTGGCGGTTCAGCTCTCAGACCGCATTATCATCTACGAGCTTGCTGGCAACGGCACGTCAGCCAACGCCAGCTACGACATGCACTACCGCGTGAAGGAACGCATCACGAAGGACCTCCCCTGCAGCCTTTTGGTCGTCACCAGCCTGCACTTCATCTTGTGCCAGAAGCAGAAGCTGCAGCAGTACGACTTCACGGGCAGGAAGGAGCGGGAGTGGGTGTTGGAGTCGCTGATCCGCTACATCAAAGTCACGGGTGGTGCTCCGGGACGCGAAGGTTTGCTGGTCGGACTGAAGGACGGCTCAGTCTGGCAGATCTTCATCAACAACCCGTTCCCGATCCCCCTCATCCAGCAAAGCAGCCCCATTTCCTGTCTCGATATCAGCGCCAAGTACGTCCCCTCTGCGTGTACTCTCTTGCTAGTAGGCCATCTAACCGTGTTGCTTGTTGTGAACCGTGTAGCCGAGAGAAGTTGGCGGTCGTGGATGACTCGCACAAGTGTCTGGTGTATGACTTGGCCACGAAGCAGCTCTTGTTTGAAGAAGGCGCAACGAACAGCGTGGCTTGGAACACCGAGTGCGAGGATATGCTGTGCTTTGGTGGTAATGGACAGCTGAAGATCCGTGCGGGGCAGTTTCCAGGTCACACGCAGCGGATGCAGGGATTCGTCGTGGGATTTTCAGGCTCGAAGGTCTTCTCACTCAGTGCTTTGAGTGTGCAAACCATCGACGTGCCGCAGTCCGCGCCATTGTATCGATACCTGGAGCAAAATAACTTCGCGGAAGCGTACGCTGTGTCCTGCTTGGGTGTCACGGCGGCAGACTGGAGGTTATTGGCCTGGGAAGCGCTCAAGAGCATGCGCTTCTCAGTTGCACGCAAAGCTTTCATTCGAGTGCGCGACGTGCGCTACATCGAGCTTGTCAACGCCCTGGAACAAACCTGGAAGCAACAATTGCCACAGGCAAGCGAAGGCAGCAACCAGGAAGGCGAAGAAGTCGGCGGTGAAGCTGGTAAGAAGGTCAAAGCACTGCTCCAGGCCGAGATCATGGCGCACCAGGGCAAGTTCCCACTCGCGGCAAAACTGTTCGCAGACTGTGGGGAACCAGCACGCGCGATCAAAATGTTTGCCGACTTGCGGATGTGGGATGAGGCCAAACGCTTTGCCACGGCGCGTCAGGCTGGGGATGTACAGCAACTTGTCCTGGCACAGGCTCGTTGGGCTGAGGATGTTCAGGATTGGCGAGCTGCTGCGGAAATGTACGCAGCCAGTGGGAACTACGTGCGCGCTGGCGAAATTCTGGGAGAGCACGGCTGGCTGGACGAACTCTTGGAGCTCACGCGCAAGCCAGACGCCGCAGCAAGTTCGAGGTTGTTGACTGTCGCCGCGAATTTCTTCTTGAAGGGCGGTCAGTTCGCCAACGCGCGCGATATGTACTTGAAACTAGGAGATCTGGACGCGCTACTGCAGATGCACATCCGACTGCAGGAGTGGGAAGAAGCTGTCCGTTTGGCAGACAGACACCGAGACAGCGTACGCCGACCTGATGAAGTTTTCGTCCCGTACGCACAATGGCTGGTGACACAGGATCGCTTCGACGATGCACTAGAGGCGTACACCCGCGCCCAACGACCAGATCAATGCTGCAAGCTGCTCTGTCAGTTGATTGACAACGCAGTGAGTGAGCGTCGCTTCCGTTCTGCTGCGTATTACCACTGGAGGTTGTCCGAGCAGCAGATGAAGACTATCTTGGACCCGAAACAGGAGACAACGGGAGGCGTGGAGCTCAACGAGGAACAACGCGCCAAACTCGCAGCAGCGATGGAGAACGAGCTGCTGTCGGAGCTCTACTACGCGTACGCCATGATCTACGCCTTCACCGACGAGCCGTTCACCACCCTACTTCCTGAATCACTCTTTCACGCTGCAAGATTCCTTCTCAATAAACTCGCAGCTCGAGGCAGCAATGGTCGAATGGGCGGCAGTAGCAGCACAATCGTTGTGGCACCACCTCCGCCGGGAATCTCCCTCAGCAATATCTACTTCACACTGGGCCACCACGCTCTGCAGCTCGAGAGCTACAAGCTCGCGCGACAAGCGTACGACAAATTGCTGCAGATGAAGCTGCGTTTGGACTGGCAGCCTGTTGTCGAGTGCACCGCCATGACACTGCAAGCGCGACCGTATGCTGACCGGGAAGAGCTGCTGCCTGTGGACTACCGCTCGTCCACCGTAAACCCGCTTCTGAACCCGAACAATACCGGCGACGTCTGCATCAACTCCGGTCACCCGTTTGTCCGCTCTTTCGTGTCATTCGAGAACCTCCCACTCGTGGAGTTCCAGCCAGAGGTAAGCGAACACACATCTCTTCGTGTCGCTATTGCACTGCTCACGTACTAACTTGCTTTGTTCAATGCGTACAGCCTGGGATTTCTGATGATGAGGCTGAGCAGCTTATTTTGACGCACCCGAGCGAGACTGGAGGCAGCAGCAAGCGCACAAGCGGAGGCTGGCGAGAGACCGACTACGGCAACGGATCCCAAAGCATGAAGCTCGACGACGACGACCCAGAGCCCGTCGACGATTCCGCACGAGATGGCGGAGACCTTTTCGAGCAAGCCCTCAACAAGCAAGCCACGTACGGATCCAGCGTCGGCCACCGCTCCGGGGCAGCACAGTACCGCGTGCTTCAGCTGGATGCCCGGACACTGCGCGCACTGCGTCCGAACGAGGTCTTCATCGTGAAATACCCGACGCGGGCCGTGCGTCCAAAGTACTACAAGAACATGATCCCGGAGATCAAGATCCACTTGTCGCCGCACTGCCGCCGGTTTTTCCACGAAGAAGACTTCGAGTTCGAGTACCTCAAGGCCGGCCACTGTCCGTGCTGCCAGGTATCAGAGCTGGCCGCGTTGAATCCGCCGCGCCTGAAGACGACGACCCTGCAGACGCCCTGCTAAACAGATCAAAGCTCAAAAAGTAAGACTCTCATGTAGATGAAATGCAAACTGCCATTACCGAGGAAGATGAGTGAGTACCTTGAGCAAGGTCAGCTAATATAAGTATACCGTCGTCCCAAGCGTGTTCTAAGCCTGAGAGAACGGGTCCGAAGTACGAGGGCGCGGCGAGCGGCCGAAGAAGGGCGAGCGCAGCAGACTGCCGTCCTCGATCTGGTCCCATTGGCGTCGTCGGCCAGATGGGGTCATGAGTCCTTGAGCCGGCGAGCGCACGACTGGCGCGAGGCTGCCAGGCGTGTTGGCACCTTCGGCCATGGCGTACTGCAGCGACTCCTGTTCGACGCCCGTATCACTGTCACTGGCCGCCTCCATCGTCTTCACTGCACGGTCGGCCATCTCGGCCCAGTCCGTGCGGGACAGCACGTACACGAAGATTGAAAGCTTGAGCACCTCCATTGTGCACACGCCGTACCACAGCGCCGAGAAGCCGAAGCCCAGCGTAACACCACCGAAGTACGCAATGGGCAGCTCAATGAACCACACACTGAGCGAGCTCACCCAGGCCGTCACTGAGACCTCGCCCATACCAGCCAGCACCGAGGACACGAGAATCTCCACCGACTCGATCATGTAGCCCGTGATGAAGATCGGCTGGACCAGCATGCAGAGCTGCAGCAGCGCGTCGTCGTTCGTGTACAGGCGGAAGAGCGTCTCGCGCAGCAGGAACGTCAGGATGGCCAGCGTCACGACGGTGCCCACAGTACACACAAAGCCGAGGAAGCCCAGCACGCGCGCGGCCTTGGGGCGGCCCGCGCCCAAGTAGTTGGCCACGCGGATCTGCGTGGCCGAGCCGAAGCCCCAGAACAGCGCCCACAGCAGCGACCACAGGCCGGAGATGACCGCGTTGGCAGCAATAACGTCCGAGCCGAGGCGCGCGGCCACGAGCGTGAGCGCCGAGTTGGCCAGGTTGGAGACCATGCTGTTGGCCGCCACGGGGCCCGCGATGTTGAAGAAGACCTGGAGTCGGTCGGGCGTGAAGGCCTTCAAGTCCCAGCCGCCCCAGGCCTGCAGGTGCATCTTCTTGTACCAGATGCAGTACGAGATGAGCGCGAGGGGCTGGAACCAGGCCGCGATGACCGTGGCCATGGGCGAGCCGTCGAAGCCCAGGCCGCCCCAGCCGAAGGACCCGAAGATGAGCACGTAGTTGGCCGCGCACGCCACGCCGATGGACAGCGTGCCCACGACCGTGACGGGCGACATGATGCCCATGGACTGGAAGTAGAGCCGCACGCACGCGTAGATGAGCGACGGCCAGATGCTCAGCGACAGGATGCGCGCGAACCGCACGCCGAGGCGCACGACCTCCTCGTCGTCCGTGGAAAACTCGAGCAGGTAGCCGATGCTCCAGTACCAGAGCATGACGGGCACCGACAGCACGGACACGACGACGAGCCCGATCTGCAGCCAGATGCCCGTGAGCTCGCCGTTCTTGGCGCCCCAGGCCTGGCCGCAGAGCGTCACGAGCGCCGTGGCGCCCGACCACACGCCGGCCAGCGGCACGTTCGTCCAGGTCGAGGCCAGCGACGCCGCGGCCAGCGAGGCCGTGCCCAGGTGGCCCAGAAACGCGCTGTCCACCGAGATGAGCGCGATGCGCGCGAAGGTCGAGAGCGACACCTGCAGCGCCATCCACGTGAGCCCCCAGAACTCGGCGGCCACGTCCACGTCGGCCTCGGTGGCCAGCGCGTGCTGGCCGCGGGGCTTTTGCTGGCCGTCCAGCAGCGGCGACTTCTCCCCCATTCTGGTGTTGGTCTTGGCTGGTTGGCGGAGAGGGGCTGGTCTTGAGATGGTGTGGCCGGCGCCAAGCAAATTGCGGAATGGGCAGCAAGGAGGGATGCGCTGTGCCGCCGTGGCAGGAGGTCCAAAGGTTCAAAAATGGCGGCAATCGTGCAACTGTGCATGCACGCACACACATCACGGACCCTGGGTCCAAACCTTCCAGTCACGAGGCGAGGAGCCGTTGACGAGGCGGAACGCACATCAAACGACGCGGACACAGAAATGGAGGAGATCGCGCAGAAAAGAGGACCTTGGAAGGTCCCGCGACCCATTTCCGTCAACTGTCATTTTGATGTAGCTTGCCTTGTCCTTGGAGTCGCGGGAAGCTTTACTTCAAATGCTGCGAGGTGGATGTCGATTCGCTTCCAGAAGGCTGAAGTTCGTCGCAGTGAAGATGTACTTCTTCATTTCGACCCTGTGTACTGCTTCATATAGACCCTTATGCACACAACTGCAGTGGTCATTGGCAATGCAGCGACGGCGATGACGATGATGATTTACATATTCTCGTAGTACCAACTGATATGATATGACAACAACGGGATATACTGTATACCTAAGGTGCACATACGTCTGGATTTAGTCTGTAGACCACGATCGTGAACACAATACGTGTAGACCCTGCGTTGAAGAGTAAGCTGCAGAGGGCAACGAATCTGCCGACTATAGTACACCATAAGTTGAATGAACTGATCTGACCGAATAGACATCGTGGAGCAGGCTGTTGTCAACAGCCACTGTTGGCAACAATGCATCCTTGCAGTGTAGCAGATCAGATTTCTTCGAATACACTTTACACCTCAGATTTCTGTTGACAGTACCCATTTTCTCTCCAGGCTACCCATTTTCAGTCCGGCTGAATATTCATTTAGAGAGGTAACATTAGCAACATGTAATATATAGGCACGTCCTGCCACGACCACCGATTGTCCAGCTTTCTATGAGCGGATCATGCCAGGCCTGGCAGCCAGACTCATCAACGCGCCATCTTGCAGGCAGTACAGTATTTGGCTCACTAAAATTATAGTGCACTGCACTACATTAGGGACCGTACAGTAGAGATTGATTGGCAGTCCGAGTCGCGGCGCATTTGCGGCGCTGTTTGCGGCGCTGTCACAGGGTACAGTAATAGTAACCGGATCCACATTTACGATAGAGTGTGTATGCGCTGTTCTGCACGGCAAGAAAATTCTATCTGACGGAAAGTCCAGCATATTTATATTTTTTGATCACCGACGCGGTATGCGTGCACGATATCATGTTTCTGCTGTTAGAGGGAACGAGAGACACAACTCGCGTAGAAGCTAACAAATATGTGAGCTGCTCCTTAACCATACTTCCTAAATTATGTATCCATCGTTACGTCTAATTATTTTTTGCTAACATGTAAAGTTCAGTTATGACTATAGAGAGGTATATTGAATATTTATTTTCAGTGAACATCGGCGCTCAGCTCAATCAACAGTCGCAGTTGTGGCCGATTTCTGTGCCTTTGATGACCTTCCAAGGTCCACACTGTTGACGATCCAAGCAGTGGTTGGCTCACGAGGAGGGAACGCGGGCCGTGCATGGTCTCAGCGGCTTAATCGAATCTGCATCTGTCCCTGACGTCAGAACCGCAGCTTTAGCTTTGCTGCAATTTTAGACCTCGCGACATTTGAAATGAAGTGGATCATTTGATTCAGTCAGCATTACGCGTTAACGGATTGCACGGTATCGTCGACAGCGAGCTGGTGGTGCTGGTGCGGGTGGAGGCCGTCGTCTACGTGGTCCCATTGGTGCACAAGTCCCGATGGCGTCAGAAGCGTCGTCGGGACTGGGGACGGCAGACCAGTGTTGGCTCCGAGCGCCGTGGTGCCGCCTTCGGCAACTGCAACGTTGACCTCCTCCTCTTCGTCCTCCACCTCCATGTTCTTGACGGCCTCGCGCGCCATCGCTACGAAGTCGATCCGGCGCAGCACCACGACGTAGACGGTCAGCTTGAGCACCTCCATCAGACAAATCGAGTACCAGAGCGCCGCGAAGCCTCCTTCGAGCACGATAGCCAGCACGTAGGCCGCCGGCAGTTCAACAAGCCAGGTTGCAAGTGTACTGGTCCAGGCCGTGATGTGCACCTGGCCCATGGCAGACAAAATCGAGGCAAAGACCATTTCCATCGCCTCGACCATGAACGCGACCACAAAGATCGGGAGCACTGCCACGCATACACTTAACAAGTCGCCATCGTTCGTGTACAACCGGAACACATCCGCGCGGAACAAAAGGGTGACCAACGCGAGGATCGTCACGGTGACAACGGTACATCCAAATCCGAGAATACTCAGCGTCTTGGCGGCGTTCGGGCGGTTGGCGCCCAGCAGGTTAGACACACGGATCTGCGTTCCCGAGCCAAAACCCCAGAACAGCGCCCAGAGCAAGCGCCAGAAGCCCGACACAATGGCGTTCGCAGCAATGATGTCAGCTCCCAGCCACGCCGCAATCAGCGAGAGCGCCGACGACGCCACATTGGACACCAGACTGTTGACGGCCGCAGGCGCCGAGTTGTTGTAGAACACGGTCATCCGCTCGCGAGTGAACTCGGTGAAGTCCCAGCCGCCCCACGCCTGGAGGTGCATCTTCTTGTAGACCACGCAGTACCACGTCAGCGCAGTCGGTTGGAACCACGACGCCACCACCGTGGCCAGCGCAGACCCGTCAAATCCGAGACCCGTCCAGCCGAACGCTCCGTAGATGAAGAAGTAGTTGGCGGCCACAGACACGCCCATCGACAGCGTGCCCACCACCGTCGTGGGCATCATCACGCCCATGGCTTGGAAGTACAGCCGCAGACACACGTACACCAGATTGGGCCAGATGGAGAACATCAAGATGCGCGCGAAGCGGACGCCGAGCTGCACGACGTCCTCGTTGTCAGTGGACGCGCGAAGTCCGAGCTCCACAAACCAGTAGTACAGCATGAGCAGCGGCGTGCACAGCGTGACCAGCACGAGCCCCATCTGCAGCCAAATACCCGTCAGCTTGCCGTTACCAGCTCCCCAGGCCTGTCCGCAGAGCGTCACGATGGCCGACATGCTGGACCACACCGTCAGCAGCGGCACGGTGGTCCACACGGACGCCAGCGACGCCGCAGCCAGCTCCGCCGTGCCCAGGTGCCCCAGGAACGCGTAGTCGATCGAGTAGAGCGCGATACGCGCGAACGTGGCCAGCGACACTTGCAGCGCGATGGAGGAGAGCCCCAGGAACTCCTGCTTCACGTCCACGGCCGGCTCCTTGAACGCATTGGAGCTCGTGGGCAGCAGCGGGGACTTCTCGCTCGGGGCGTCGCGGGGCGCCATCCTGCCAATAGCGACAGTCAGTACCTGCGGTACTTGTGCGACGGCGGGCGAGATGCAGAATGGCAGGACATACGGTCGGCGCTGGGGCGGGGCGGGGCACAAGGACCGCCGGCCGGCGCTGTCGACACCTCCTCACAATCGGCGGAGACACATCATGCGCTGATGTCTGCGAGGTGCAAGTGGCAATGACCTTTGTGTACGCGTACACTAAATAATGAATAGCACACATCATTTTCATGGTAGTCAAAAAAATATTTGGGCACTTTTCCATCCAGGATGCCGCCGCACCACCTCGCTCAGAAGATCCTGGTCGTCTTTGTGGACGGCGAGGACGCCGCTACTTCGCCCGCGCTCGACGATGTAGCTGCGCGCGGCTGCAGCGGCTCCCTCGTGCTGTCAGACGCCAAGACCAGCGACTTGGCGGCGCTGCTGGGCGTCCAGGGGGGAGAGGGTCTCGCGTGAGTCATCTATTGTATCTATTTGTAGATTTGTGCTCATTTGTCGCTAATAATGGGGTCATTTGTCTGATAATAGGTACCCGAAGACGCCCATTTCCTTCTTCAGCGCGTCTGATTCCGCACTTCAACTTGCCACGAGCGCGGGAGTGCAGTTCGTGCACGACATCGCGGACTCGGACGGAGACGCCGTCAAGAACCAGATCGCGGCGCTGCTGGCCGACCCGGAGATCCCCAAGGCGCTGGCCTTCGTGCACGTCGACGCCAAGAGCTCTTCTGACCACTGGGTGCATGGGCTGGTGGCAGAGCTGGCCACGCAGCAGCAAGGGGACGGCAGCAGCACAGTCTTCGTGTCGGTCGTGCAGACGGCCCGGCAGCGGGTCTTGGAGCCGGCGGAGCCACACCCTCTGCGCCCGCAGCAGAGCTACAGGAAGTGGGACCACAAGTACCCGCAGCTGGAGGACGAGGAGGCTCCAAGGCGCCTCGTGTTCGCCAGTTTGTACCAGGACCAGACGCGTCGCGACGGCGTGCAATCGTTCACCGAAGAGGAGATCGACAAGCTCGGGGCCTACGGAGCCATGGATGCGCGGGTTTTTATGAAGGAGATGGCGTTCCGCCTCGGATGTGCCCCCAAGTACGGCGCTTGAGCCTTGTATGCAGAAGAGTACGCATCTTACCGAAAAATCGCTTAAGCGTGTTACGTGTTCAATCCAATGCCTATTTGGTAATTGTTACTGCTGTTTGTCACTGGCTGCCGAACATGTTACTTGTAGTACGTCCCTTGGCTGAGGTCAAGGCGAGTTGCAGCACGCAGCTGAAACGGTACGGGAAACAATTGCGGCCTGTCGTGGTGTGAGCGGATTTAATTTCCTACGAGGTGGCATAACACTATTAACTGGCCGGTCGTGCTCCAGGTGATGGCTCGCACGTTTAACTATCCTGTCTGGCCCAGCGATTGATTGTAGTAGCGCAGTGCGGACATGGCACTTGCCAGCGACAGACAAATGGAGTGATGTGGCTCCTGCGGGGATAGCCTCATGAGATTTCTGGATCTTCCCGGCGGCTGCATGCAAGCCGCCACCCCAATTGCGGGTAGTAAATTGCCGCTACACCTCGCTGTACTCCACCCCAGGTCGACCATTGTCGTGAGGTACGCCTCGACAACGAACAGTAGCAAGCGCCTAATCGGCTTATCCTATCTTCATGCTAACGATCAGCCTCAAGCAGGAGTGACCCAAATCAGCTGTCGGCAGCTCAAACGAGGCAAGCTTTTCAGTTTTCTTGAGTTAAACCGGCCAGGTGTTGAAGTCGGCCCACATTTTCCAGCCTCGTTGGTCGTTCATTCCAAAATTCGCCATCAAACTGGGACCTCGGCTCAAGGACACGCCATGGACGTCGCGTTGGCGGTCGTGGACGCCCTGCGCCAGATCTACGCGCTACGCAAAGCGATCCTCCGTCAACGCCGCGTCAACGAGGAAACGTACCTGCAGATGATGGAAATATTCGTCGAGTTGCACTCGTCGGAGGGGGTCCAAGTCAACGCCACGCTGCGGCGCACTGCCGCTGTCGAGAAGTTCTCGGAGGCGGTGATCAAGTTCTCGTCATATCTGCAAAAGTACGACCACATGTGCCGGGTCGTCCGCTTATTCAAGCTCGCAGCCATGGAGGAAGAGCGGCTCGAGATCGTGGGAGAAATCGACCAGGTCCTCCGGATGCTGAACTTCGCTTCGGCCGTGACGGTCATGAACGGTGCAGTTGCTGTCTCTAGAAACACCGCGAGGCTTCGTGCAAAGCTGGAGGAGATGCATGGGGATATCAAACTCGGCCACGACCAACTCCTCGCGGCGCTGCTCGCCAAGAAGAAGCAGCAACACGCTGATCAGGGGCCCGTACTCGAGGAACGGTCTTCTAACCGAGTGGGAGTAGATCAAGTTCTAGTCCACCAAGTATCCGTACTGACGGCGTGTGAGGGCGACGAACAGGCGAACCCCCCTCTTCAAGCACTTGGAGATATTTTGGTGACTGCGGGGGACTCTATCAGTGACACGGTGGAGGGGAAATCGCCGGTCGGTGATAACTCGGTGGGAGAACCCGAGTCGAGCGTCGCTAACGACGAGGATCAGGATACGTCACCTCAAGTGGAGCCAAGTACACTTGATATCGTGGCTGTAACAGAGGGCCTGGTCGTTGAGAAGGATGATTTGGGAGATTTGAATCCGACTGTCGCTACCGACGATGAAGAGGGACACGAACCAAGCAACCCGCAGTTCTCTCCGATTGAAGAGCTGGAGAACGAGCCAATTGATCAACAACCTGCAGAAGAGGCTGATGGGGACGACGAATCTTTATGGACGCTAGACAGTTCTGACGATCTGGATGAACAATCGGAAAGTGTTTCGAGTGACCAGCAACTGGCTGACGAGGGTGAATTCAATGAAACAACCACAGTGGTCGAATATACTGCCGACGCGTTGGTTGAAGCCCTGAAGGCAAAGGATGTCGAACGGCGCCAGCAGTCAGACGAGATGAGTCGCCAACCAAAGGCCCAACAGGTTGAGGACAGAGGCCCCGTCGAGGGCGAATCTAGCGAGGGCCAGAGCGCACTGACCCAAGGTATTACTGACGAGGGGGGTGGAGTTGAGGATGAGCAGAATGCTGAACAACTTGAGTCGATGCATGGTAGTTTCGATGATGTGGTTGATGAACCAAGCTCGAATCAGCCGCGAGAAGTGGTTGAAGACACCGATAAGGCTGAATCGAGCAGTCAGCACTCTACGCAGTCGTCAGATATTAGTGATGGCCTGGATCTGGAAAACGAGGCCTTACCACTTGAGGAGAATGACACCGTTCCTCTGCTTATCAAGCTGCTTGGTGCGGACGATACGACAGCGCAGCAAAAAGAAGACCTTGTCTTGGATCTCCTTCGTACGTGCATCACCAACAGCAGCCGCGTCCAAGTTTACAAGACCAAAGGGATCCCAGTACTCACGAACCTGGTGCGCCACGGAGAGACGTTCCTCACGCAGCTGTACGCTCTGCACTGCCTGAGTTGGTTCACGTTCTCCTTCTCCAAACTGCGCGAATCGGACTTCATGGAGCTGAACAACTGCGTTCGCGAACCATCCCACGAAGAAATGCTCTCGCTTCTGCACGAACTACAGTCTGCCGATGATGAAGTGAAAGAGCGCGCAGCTTTGCATTCCTCCTGCGTGGCAACAAGTGGAGCGGGAGACGCGTTACGTCAACTTGGAGTGCTGCCGCTACTGATTGAGCAACTCAAGGATGGCACCGACAACCAGAAACTGTGGGCAACTGAGGCGCTGGTAACACTCGCTAGCGACAGCAATGAGAACAGTGTGGCAATTACGCGTGGAGGGGCCATCCCGCCGCTGGTTCTGCTTCTTCGATCTGGAACCGACATGCACAAACAGGAAGCAGCCTACGCTCTCGGAAACCTGGCGGCGAACAACGAAGTGAATCGTGCGAAAATTGCTCGCGAAGGCGCCATTCCTCCCATGGTGGAGTTTGTGAAGTCAGCGACGGACGCGCAGAACCAGTGGGCCGTGTACGCTTTGGGGTCTCTCTCCCTAAACAACGAGGAGAACCGCGTGTTGATTGCTCAAGAAGGTGCTATCCGTCCTCTCGTTAAGCTCCTGCGCGTGGGAACACGCGCTCAGAAGCAGTGGGCCGCATACACACTTGGGAATCTCGCCCACAACGACGCGAACCGAGTGGAGATCACACTGCATGGCGCCATTGTACCGTTGGTCCAGCTTCTTCGAACTGGGACGGCCATGCAGAAGCAGCGAGCAGCGTTTGCATTGGGGAATCTAGCATGCGATAACGATACAGTGACGACGGACTTTGATGAAGCCATCCTGCCGCTCGTGAATCTTGTGAGGACCGGCTCTGACTCTCAGAAGGAGGACGCCGCGTACACGCTCGGCAACCTCGCCGCCAACAACGGCGCCAGGCGTGCTGAGATCGGGCGGGCGGGAGCTATTGCTCCGCTCGTGAAGCTACTTAAGATTGGAGACGGTGAGCAGAAGCAGTGGGCGGCATTCGCGCTGAGGTGTCTGGCTTACGATAACCACTTAAACCGCATGGCAATTGTGAAGGAGGGCGCCATTGACGCTCTCGCTGCGATCGTGGAGGAAGGGACCAAAGCGCAAAAGAAGGAGGCTGCTCTTGCACTTGAGCACCTTGCGGTGAAGGATGGTGCGGCCACCGACACGTTCATTCCCGATCGAGTTATGACACCGCTGATGGACACAATTTCACTGAACGCCAATGTAGCTGCTGCTGCCGCTCTAAACACACTGGAAACCGTGCGCGAGGGCGTCCTCCCGCTTTTTCGCAAGCTCATGAAGCCAGAAGCTGCGGTCAAAACCGAGTCTGCTTCGCAGAACTTGGGGCTTCATACTCGTGAAGGTCCAAAAGATGCGACGGATGTGCGCGTCGTTGCTGGTGCTTGGTAATTTAATCGTGGCATTCTACAAGTAAGTTACCTGCGTCTGAACTGTTAGTGTCGCTCTACTGTAATAAATGTTCGCACATCGATCCAGTGCATGTACGGAATTTGTATATCGAATCTGTACTCTGCGCCTGGCGGTCAAAAATAGCAAACATTGCTAAGCGAAGCCAACGACAGAGTTGTTTCCACGTGTGCGAACCGAAACTATCCCTCCAAGTCACTGTTGCCCTTTAACGCGCTGCGTCATGTTCCGAAAAGTATCCTGCAACAAGGGCGTTGCGATTTCGTATGACAGTGCATATCCTGCGCTTTACTGTAGAAATGCTTGAGGTCTTGAACGCAGTTCGTGGACTGTAGCATCTCGTCATCAAACAACGAGTACCACTGATCAAATATGTTTAGCACCGCCACGACAAAGGTACTGCCAGCATACGCCTCCATATCCATCTGCGTCATTTCTGTGTAAGTGCTCAGTTGGTTGCGGGGATAGTGATGTGTATTTTGCGAAAGCGCCATTCTTGCTCGTGCTTCACCAGTCAGATCTTTGCTGATCGAGGGTTCTCAAGACCACCGAATTCTCCGGCAAAACAAAGTTTCCCGCAAGGTGGATATACAACTTTATGTAGATCCAGACGTATCGCTTTGCCGCCTACGAGTACTAGACATCACGCCGTCTTGTTACCAGTCCCCAAAGCGAAGTGGGATAACGCTACGGTAAACTGCAGAAATCGCTGGCCAATACAGTACTTATAGAACCAAAAGGGCGTGAGCACGGTACATCACGAAGACGAACAGTCCTCGCCAGCTTCGAATCTTACGTTAAAAAGGTATGCAACACGTTGACGTGCGTTCAGGGCGACGCAACCTAGTGCGATCTTTTGCTACAGTTGCTTCCAGGCAATTGCGCTCTTTCACCAGGACGCAAGTACAAATCACGACGCGTTTTCAACGAGGTGTTCCCCGAACAGGTTGCAGGAAAGCGAATTGTACAGTAACTTAGGTGAATGAGCGCAATTCGCGACCAACAACCAGAGACCCAAAATGTACGAGACATTTCCACAGAGTTAACACGAAAGAAATGCCCGACTGTCTCAACTAGCGATTCGCGACACTTGTATAGAGGTGTAGAAGATGTTGGCTGGGATCCTTGAAGTGGACAATAGACAATGAGTCAGCTGAACTACCAGCAGTACAGTGCGTTCGGATAGTTAGTTGATGCTCACACTTCGGTCTGAGTGAGGCCGTTTCGCCGTAGCCAGCAGCGGCGCACAAGCTCGTTCTCGGTAGCTTGCTGGCAACACCATCAACTCAAGTCTTAGCGCCCAACCACACGTCTAACTCATGCAGCCTCTTCACTCTCACAATCTCCTGCTCGGAGAGAACTTTCCTGCAGCTGCAGGAAATGGCTCGCTATCATCGAAATGGGATCTTTTGGCCCATTTCAGACGGGCTGAGTGCGTGAGATAGTAAGTAGCAGCCTGTTGCATGTTGCAGCTCGAGCTTGGTCGCCACACACGAATACAAACGTGACTACGTGTACCGAGGGCAGTTGCAGGCCCAGTTGCGGTGAATAAGTGCTAGAAGTGGTTTTAATCTGTGAAATTGCCAGCTTTGGTGCGTCTCCGCACGCCTCCAGCGCCTAAGATTCAACGAAGTCCAACTTGGTCCGACTTTCATCGATCGAGTGATCTCGAGAGTGGTTCTACCTGTCGAGGTCGGGTATGCGAAATGAAGGCTGTTATGGTCGCTAGGCTGCTGCGCTTGACTGGCGTGGTCTGTACGAAGTCTGCAGCCTTCCTAGCCGAGCAAATTCAACTCGGGGCAAAATTCCTCGAAAACGTGGGAAACACCGATAAATGTATGAAACGAATCCAGCTTTACCACGAAAATGACTCGTATACATGGAGCAGATTTCCGTGAAAACATTCCCAATTCAGACTTCAATTGTAGCTCGAGCTTATGGGAATTTCAACACAAAGCAATAAAATACACATTTTTTTCGAGTTTGACGACAACAAACTCGACGCTGAGCCAGCAATGTGTGGAGCGCAGCGCCGTCCGAGCAGCGAGCGTGGAGGGTGTGAAAAATAGGCGACACTCCAAATTTTGATCTCCAGGCAAAGCGCGCGGGATCGTCAATGTCGGACGAGGCAGTCTCCATTTCAACTCAACTGAGCCCTTGAAAGGGTGTCCAGGTCCACCCAGCCCAGCCCAGCTCGGCCTCAAAGCCACGTGCGTCAAACCGCCTCAAGTCTCACCGAGATCCGCGTCGATCGCAGTCCGAAACGTTTTCCACTACAATGCCTCTCAACTCCCAAGTCATTCTCAAACTCACCTCCAACGACTCAATTCACTCATTCACTCACTCGATTCACCAATGTGCACCGCCATCAACGTGGTCCAAGGGCTCGTCAAGATCTTCGAGCTGCGAGAAGCCATTCGCCACCAACGTCGCGTCAACAAGCAGACGTACCTGCAACTGACCGAGATCCACGTCGAGCTCCAGCTATTGAACCGCAACGGGCCCCTCCAGGACAACGCGACTCTGCGTCGCACCGCCACCGTCAAGAAGTTCGCCCTGGCGGTCACCAACTTCGTCGCGTACCTGCAAAAGTACAACGACATGAACCGCTTCCTGCGCTTCTTCAAGCGCAGCGACATGGAGGCCGAGCGCCTGGAGATCGTGGCCGAGATCGACCAACTCTTCCGCATGCTCGGGCTCGCCACGTCCGTGACGGTCATGAACGGCGACGCGTCGGCGGCCAAGAACGCGGCCAAGTTCCTCTCCAAGCTGCAGGACGTGCACGCGGACGTCAAACTGACCCACGACCAGGTCCAAGCAGCGCTGCTGGGGCTCGTAGAGAAGCGCAAGAGCGACCAAGAGGAGAAGGAGCTCGTCGCCCAGAAGCCGGTGCTCAAGCGGAGTCACTCGCCCGCTGTGGACAGTCTGTCCGTCCCGTTGCTCATGGAGTCCCTGGGCTCGGATCAAACGAAAGCCAAGGACAAGACGCTCTTGGCGCTCATCCGCAAGTGCGTGACCAGCAACAGCCGAGTGCAAGTGTACAAGGCCGACGGGATCCAGCTATTCGCCGGCTTGGTGCGCGGAGACGAGAGCTACTTCACGCAGCTCTACGCTCTGCACTGTCTGAGCTGGTTCACCTTCATCTACTCCAAGATGCCCGAGATGGAGTTCGAGACACTGCGCGGCTGCATTCCCCCGGCGGCTCCGCTGCAGATTCAGTCGCTGATCCACGACCTCAAGCTCGGAACGGACCAGGAGAAGGAGGACGCAGCCATCCTGTGCTCGTGCATGGCCACTCGAGGCGACGTGGAGATCCTACGCACTGTCGGAGTGCTGGCGCCGCTCGTCAACCTCTTGGAGCACGGCACTGTCAACCAGAAGCTCTGGGCTGCCGAGGCGCTGGGGACTCTGGCCAGCAACAACGACGATAACTGCGTGGCCATCGCTCGAGAGAAAGCTATACACCCGTTAGTCGCGCTACTGCGGTCCGGCACGGACATGCAGAAGCAGGAGGCGGCGTACGCTCTGGGCAACTTAGCAGCCGACAACGACGTGAACCGCGCCACGATCGCGCGTGAAGGCGCCATCCCTCCCATGGTGGCGTTCGTCAAGGCCGTGACGGATGCTCAGAACCAATGGGCCGTGTACGCCCTGGGGACTCTGTCACTGAGCAACGAAGCGAACCGCGTCGCCATCGCCCAAGAAGGAGCTATCGCTCCGCTGGTGAAGCTGCTGCGAGTGGGGGCCAGCGCCCAGAAGCAGTGGGCAGCGTACACCATCGGGAACCTCGCCTACAACGACAACAACCGAGCCGAAATCACGCTCGAAGGGGCTATCAAGCCGCTCGTGACGCTGCTGGAGGTCGGCACGGACGCTCAGAAGCAGTGGGCGGCGTACGCGTTGGGCAACCTCGCGTGCGATAACGAGGCGGCGATCGAGCTGGACGAAGCCATCTTGCCGCTCGTGGAGCTCGTGCGGACGGGGTCCGACCCGCAGAAACAGGAGGCGGCGTATACGCTCGGGAACCTCGCAGCGAGTGACGACGGCAATCGAGACGAGATCGGACGAGAAGGAGCCATCGCCCCGTTAGTAGGGCTGCTGCACGCTGGGACGAGCGAGCAGAAGCAATGGGCCGCCTACGCGCTCGCGTGCCTGGCCGAGAACAACGACGCAAACCGATGGGCCATTGTGAAGGAGGGAGCGGTCACTCCGCTACTGGCGCTTGCGCTCGGAGGAACGGAAGACCAGCAAGCCCAAGCAGTTCGAGCACTGGGAAGTCTCGCCTGCGACTGTGATGAGGACTATTCCTTCCCGTCGGAGAAAGTTGTAGCGGCTTTGGTGAGGTTTCTCCACGTTGGGACGACCTCGCAGAAGGCAAACGCTGTAGTTGCGATCCAGAAGCTGGCGAGTGTGAGCGACGACAACAGGGACACGATCGTGAGGGAGGGGGCGATCCCTCTACTTGAAATGCTCGTGAACACGGGCACTGAAGACCAGAAACAGTTCGCTCAGAAGGCGCTGGAAACGCTTCGACCAAAGGTAGTCGAAGTGCCCAATGTTGGGGATCTGCTACGTAGTGTTGCGGTGGGCTGGGTGGCCAGCTAGGCAAGGGAAAAGTGCATTAGCGTAGCGTTGTATACTTTCAATGACTTAAGCAATACCATCCAATGTGCAAGGAACTGGTACGAAAACTATTTTTCTTAAAAGCCGACATAGCAGTGGTGAAGTTCATGCAGACAAGTCACTTAAAACATTGCTGCGTCTGGGTAACCGGCGTCAGAAGATAACCTATGTTTAGTTGGGGCTCAGCTAACCTTAGGATCTCTAAACCAACCAACCAACCAACCAACCATTCTACCCCAATATTAAACCGCTTCGTCGAACAAGCACCGTTCGTCGACCACCGACGATATGGCTTCCTCCTACTCGCTGGCAGTTCCTGGAGCTGGCTCCATGGCTGATGTGCTTGCAAGGATCAAGAAGTTGAGCGACGACATGAACGAGACCAAGCGCGCGTGCTCGCGCCTCCACGGTCGACTGGAAGTTGTCTTTACGACGCTACAAAACATGGAGCTCGACGATTCCCAAGACATTTGTGAGAGAACTGTGGACGTCGTGTCCAAGTATCTCCAATTCCTCACCCGCTACCATGGAAAAGACCTCGTGCATCGCGTCGTGGAGCACAGTACGATGATGGACCAGCTGCGCCATTTCCACGAAGAAGTGGCGGTGGTGTTTGAGTTGCTGAGCATCTTCCTTACCAGCAACTGGGGCGCAGAATGGGAAGACGACCACCATCTGCAGATGGAAGTGCTAACCGCCACAGTCAAAAGCTGCGCTGTGATCCGCAGTGAGCTCCAAGACCCTCGCGATCGAGCGGAAGCTCTCTTGCTACTGAAGTTCGAGGTCGAGCAGAGAGGAGAGAGAAACGACGACGACGTCTTGGGGCTAATGAAGTCGATGTTGGCCACAGTTCTAGTGACCTCCAACACAGCGGAGGAAGCTCTGCCGACGTGGTTCTTGCCCCTGGAATTCGAGCCCAAACCGTTCGCTCGCAGGTCGATTGGCACCGTACACCGCGGAGTCTGGGGCGACCAAACGGACGTGGCGATCAAGTTCTTCCTGGTGGACGACGAAATGCTGGACGAGCGTATGCAGAGGCTGTTGGAGAAGGAGCTGGACGCAATTACCGCGTTGAGTCACCCGAACGTGGTTAAGATGTTTGGCGCCTCCCACATCAGCTTACCGCCGTTTACTGTGTACGAATTTGCATCGAACGGGAGTCTCAGTGGATTCCTTGCCCGATCGGATAGGAACAAGCAGCAAATGTGGAGGCTTTTGTATGAAGCAGCGTTGGGGTTGAGCCACATTCATGAGAGGAATATCGTCCACGGGAACCTCAAGCTCAGCAACATTCTTGAAAGTTGCAGCCGAATTGTTGATGCAAAAGGCGTGACGCCTCTCGTATCAATTCTGCAAAGCGGAACTACCGCACAGAGGGATGGTGCGGTACGAGCTTTGGCTAACCTCGCTCAGAATAGTGCGAGTCGAGGACAAATTGTGCGGAAAACTACGCTTTCTTTGCTTGTGGTACGACTGCGCAGCGGTACAGATACTCAGAAGTACCATGCGAGTCGAGCTTTGAGTAATTTGGCGATTGACAAGGAGAACTGTGGTTCAATTGTACACGCAGGAGCTATTACTCCGTTCGTCATCCTGCTGCAAACTGGAAACGATAATCAAAGCGTCTCGGCGGCACGGGCGGTGGCGAATTTGTCTGCCGCTACCGAATACCGCCGTCTGCTTGCTAGTGCGATCCCGCCTCTCGTTTCTCTCCTCCAGCGCGGAACTGATGTGGAGAAGGACGAGGCATCGCGAGCATTGGCCAGTTTAGCCGGTGATGAACACAACCGACCCCTGATCATACAAGAAGGAGCTCTTCCCATTTTCGTCACGCTCCTTGGACGCGGCAATAGCTGCCAGAAGGATCAGACGTCGCAGGCGTTGGCGAACTTAGCTCTCGATGCTTGTCATGCTGCTTCTATCGCTCGGGAAGGAGCTATTCCAGCTCTTGTGGAGCTACTTTCGCGAGGGGGTGGAAGAGTCCACGCTGTTCGAGCTTTGGGAAACTTGACTCTTGATGGGGAGACCCGCAAAATAGTTGCAAGTGCGGGTGTTATCCAACCTCTTCTGGGGCTTGTCCGAGCTGGAACGATGGACGAGAAAACGTTAGCCACGTGGATTCTCGTTAATTTGTCTGTAGACCCGCCTAATCGAGATCCTATTGCGCGCGCGGGATTTATTCCGCTTCTGGTGGAACTACTTACGACCGGAGTGGGTCTCGTCAATAAGTATTCTGCGCACGCAATACGACACCTGGCTTGTAGTCCTGCGATCCGCGGTGTGCAGCCGATCAAACAATTGGTGGCGCTTCTTCGCGACGGAACGGACGGTGAAAAGGGAGAAGCAGCACTTGCACTGGGAACTCTCGCGATCAACCAACCTGGACACAGAGCCAAAATCGCTAAACTAGGTGCTGTGGCCTTACTCGACGAGTTACGGCGGACTGGAGGGCAACAGCTGAAACGCAACGCGGAAGATGCCTTAGGGAGATTGAACGAACCGTCCTCGAAACGATTGCGTCGCGGTTAAACGCACTCAAGGTCGATTGCAGCCAATCACTCCAGGATCAGGCACCGCTGCTCAGTTGTTGCTGTTGGCGGCGAAGCCCCACGTACCAAGAACTAACATAAAGTAGTGTATGCGGCGCTAACCGAATCTTAACCGAAGTATTATGAGTATGTGCGCTCTAAAATGTGTAGATATTGTCGACGATCTTATCGATTCTACGCAACTTGCAAGTTCGAAACGAAAGACGTGGGGTGGGCATCACAATTGTCGTCCCATTTACCAATTCTATTGAGTAGCTTTGCGAAACATACGTGGAAAAAAGCGATAGAGACCTCACTTTTTCTTAATGTGCACCCGTCCCTTGAGATTATACTCGTGTAGAGCCGGTAGTTCGGTGCTGCTTTCAGTGCGTCCCCTTCCAAGCCCTTTAGCCCCGACTCGTTATAAGCGATAATCTGGAACTTCCAAATGCACGATTCTAAATTGTAGTGTCCTAAATTGCCTGTCATTCGAAATGCTTCATTACGTAAAAAAGGCGTCAGACTTCAACTACTTGAAGTACTAGACTAGTAGTACTAGTATCATACAGTAGTGTGTACGGCGCCCTCGCTGCTGCAGCTGGCGGTCCCTGGCGAGGGCCCCGTGGCTGCGGCGCTCCTCACGATCCAGCAGCTGTGTCTGCAGATGAAGGAGGCGCGCCCGGCGTGCAGTCGCCTCCACCGCCGCCTCAGGAGCCTCCTCGACGAGCTTCAACGCATGGAAACGGAGGAGCAACTTCCCGCCGCTGACTCACTAGAGAAATACACAGCGACAGTGACCAAGTATCTCCGCTTCCTGCAACTTAACTGCGAGAACGAACTTCTCTACCGCGTCGCGTTGTTCGAGGAGATGAAGAATGAGCTGAAGCAACTTAACGACGACGTCGCGGGGCTATTCGTTGAGTTGCTGGATGTGGAGGCCGCGGGCTGGGAGAAGCAATGGGAGGAAGACTGCACAGTGCAGGAAGCAGTACTTAGCGCCACTATTAAGGACAAAGCCGCTGTTCTTCACGATTTACAGACGCTGGGAGCTCAAACGGAGGCCTGGCTGACTCAAAAGGAAGAGCACTTGAGCAGTAGTTGGCAAAATGCAAAGTGATTCGATTCAGGTCCTTAGTTCGCAACCGCGTGCTACCTCTAAGCCTGCTACTGGATACCTCTTACTGGATACACCCTACTGGATTCTCTACTGGATACACAGTTACCTTATCCAATCAGAGAACGCCACGTCGATGCCCATCTTGTACCCACAATCTTGGCGTAATCACCGTGACGTAATCATCGTCCCGTAATCACCTGAATGATTGCGGTACCACACAGTGAAGGTCACGCCGACCTCACTGATGACGCGTTCGCGTCACACGGTCGCTTGGCGGGGCGTCGTCACATCAGTCTTGACAACACTCCCACTCGACTCGTCAGCGACCACGATGCCCAGCTTCGTCCTGAGCGCGTCGAACTGCGGCGCCGCGATCGGCTTCGTCATGATGTCCGCCAGCATGTCGAGTGTCGAAACATACTGCAACACCACTTGACCGTCTTCCACCTTCTCGCGCACGAAGTGGTAGCGAATGTCGATGTGCTTGGTGCGCTTGTGGAACTCCGGGTTCTTGGCCAACGCGATGGAGCCTTGGTTGTCCTCGTAGATCTTCACCGCTTCATCGCTCGCCATCTCGCCCAGCTCGCACAGAAACACCTTGAGCCACACCGCCTCCTGCGTGGCCTCCGACAGCGCCATGTACTCGGCTTCCGTCGACGAGAGCGCCACCGTGCGCTGCTTCTTGCTTCGCCAGCTGATGCATCCGCCGTTCATCATGAACGCGTAGCCGCTCGTACTCCGTCGAGACTCGATGTCGCCGGCCCAGTCCGCGTCCGAGTAGCCTTGCAGTCCGTCCTCGCTGCTCGCTTGAAACACGAGGCCGTGCGTCTTCGTGCCTCGGATGTAGCGGAAGACCCTCTTGAGCGCCTGCCAGTGTGTCGGACATGGATCCGCTGCGAACTGGCTCAGCACTCCCACTGCCGCTGCGAGGTCCGGACGAGTCCCCACCATGAGATACATGAGGCAGCCCACGGCGTTCCGGTACGGAACATTCGCCATGGTCTCGTCGTGCTTGCAGCCTCCCTCGCACATGGCCTTGGTCAGCTTCAGACCCGGATCCTGCGGTGTCTTCACAGGGTTGCTCTCATCCATCTTGAACTTCTCGAGAATGTCCTTCGCGAACTTGGTCTGCCGCACCGACACCTTCCCAGTCGCCACATCTTGCTCGATCTCCATACCGAGGAAGTACTTGAGCTGGCCCATGTCGGTCATCTCGAACCGGTCACTCAGCGCCTGCTTCGTGTCCTTCAGCATCCCGTCGCTGCTGCTGGCGAGGACCAGATCGTCCACGTACAGTGCCACGAACATCATGTCGTGATTGTCCCGCTTCAAGTAGATGCAGTGGTCGGACTCGCACTTCTTGAACCCCAGCTTCAACATGAACTCGTCGATCGTCTTGTTCCACATCCGCGGCGACTGCTTCAGGCCGTACAGCGAACGCTTGAGCCGGCACACGTAGTCGGGTCGATCTCCGTCCACATATCCGTCCGGCTGCGCCATGTAGATGTCCTCGTCCAACAAGCCGTTGAGGAACGCGGTCTTCACATCCATCTGGTGCACGGTGAGCTTGTACTTGGCCGCCAGACTCAGCAACACCCGAATCGACGTGAACTTGGCCACCGGTGCGAACGTCTCGTCGTAGTCGATGCCGTACTTCTGCGAGAACCCCTTCGCCACCAGTCGCGCCTTGAACCGCTCGATCTCTCCAGACTGGTTCTCCTTCACGCGGAACACCCATCTGCAGCCGATCGCCTTGCGTCCCTTCGGCAGTGGCACCAGGGTCCACGTCTCGTTCTTGCGGAGCGACTCCACCTCCGAGTCGCACGCCTCTTTCCACTTGTCTGCGTCGCTGGATTCCATCGCCGACTTGAACGTTGTCGGCATCTCTCCCACTGAATCCACGACGTACGCAGCCTCGAAGTCTTCCTTCTCTTGTGCTGCGGCAGACATCTCGTCCAGCGGCTGCTGTCGTCTCGGCACCGCATACCGCTTGACACTCGGAACCTCCACGGCTTCCTCGAGCGACTGCGTGCGCGGGTGTCGCTTGCTGCCGGGTTCAAAGTCTTGATTCCGCGCAGCTTCTTCTCTGTTCTCGTCTGATCCGGACTGAGTCTCTTCATCCGTGGTGTCTTCATCATCATCTGTCGGAAGACTCACCAACACCTCCTTCGAAGCGTAGTCGCGTCTCCCACCGTCGAAGACATCCTCCATGAACTGCGCGTCGCGGCTCACCAACACGCGACCGCTCTCGATCTCCTCGAACCGATACGCCTTCTCGTGCTCCGAGTACCCGAGGAAACGACAGCGCACCGACCGAGCGTCGAACTTCGACCGCTTCTCCTTCGGCACGTGCACGTACGCGTGGCACCCGAACACCTTGAGGTTGGCCAGCAAAGGCTTCTTGCCGGTCCAAACGTGGTGCGGCGACTTGTCGTGACTGATGGCGCGCGTCGGACACCGGTTGCGGAGGAACGTGGCCGTCATCACCGCTTCTCCCCAGTACTCCTTCGACAACCCGGCGTGCTCCAGCATGCAGCGCGCACACTCCACCAGCGTCCGATTCATTCGCTCGGCCACTCCGTTGAGCTGAGGCGTGTATGGTGGCGTGAACTTCTGCTCGATGCCGCGATCCGCACACAACTTGGCCATCGCACCCGAAGTGTACTCGCCGCCGTTGTCGCTCCGAAGCACCTTCACTCGCTTGCCGGTCTGCGTCTCAGCCAACGCGACGAACGCAGCGAACTTGGCAGCCACCTCTGACTTGTTCCGTAGCAGGTACACCACGCAGAAGTGCGACTTGTCGTCGATGAACGTGACGAAGTAGTGCTTGCCTCCGAACGTCGCCGTCTGCATCGGACCGCACACATCGCTGTGGACCACCTCCAGCACTTGCTTCGCACGGTTCGGCGACGACTTCATGAAGCTTACTCGCGTTTGCTTGCCGAGTGCGCACCCGTCGCACACCTCCCACTGCTTCACCGACGTCATTGGGATGCCAGTGCCGTAGCCCTTCTTGACGATGGCGTCGAGACCACCATGGCCGATGTGACCAAGTCGAAGGTGCCAGAGGTACGACGTGGTGTCCCCTTGGCGATTCTTCGAGCTTGCCGCATTGGCCTCGTCAGCAGGCGTCCTCGGCGTCATGCAGAGCTTGAACAGTCCTTTGCCTTCGCGAGCGCCGAGCTTCCACTTGAGACCCTTCGTTTCCGCAAAGCACCCGTCGCTCTCGAAGGTCACTGGCCCGACGTCCTTGGTGAAGCGGCCGACGGAGAACAGGTTGCGCGACAGCTTCGGGATGTGCCACACACCCGTGAGCACACCCTTCTTCATGCCGCGCGGTGTCTGCATCGACATCACGATGTCGCCGCTCCCCACCGCCTGAACCACGCCGTCGTCCGCCAGATGCACGTCCACCGGAGAGATCTTCTTGTAGTTCTTCATGTACTCCTTCGAGTACGTCATGTGCTGCGTCGCACCCGAGTCGACCAGCCACATGCCGCTCAGCTTGGAGGCACCCGTGTCGCCACCAACCGAGAAGAGGAAGTCGCCAGAGTCATCTTCGACCTGCGCGACGTTCGCTCGTTGCGGCCTCTGCCGCTCCCCGTTCTCGCGGATCCGCACCGGACACTTGGCGATCCAATGTCCGTGCTCGCCGCAGTAGTGACAGGCGCTCGTCCTCTGCGCTTGCGCCTGCCGTCCCTTGCGCTTCCCGTTGTCGCTTGTCATGAACGCTTGACCTTGAGCGTGCGCGGTTCCGTCAGCACCGCCACCTTGTTCCTTGCGCTTCATGTCCTCGTGCAGGAGCCGAGACGTCACGAGCTCCCACGTCAGCGTGTCGGAACGCGATTCCAACGCCGTGATGAGGAACTGGTACGACTCGCTCAGACTGGCAAGAAGCGTGATCACCAAGTCGTCCTCGCTGACCGGAGCGCCGACCGCGTCGAGCTGTTCCGCCAGCGTCTTGAGCTTGTTAATGTGCTCCAGCACATCATCACCTTCGTCCATCGTTGTCGTGAAGAACCGTCGACGAAGAAAGAGCTTGTTCGCCAGGCTCTTCTTCTCGAAGTGTCCCTCGAGTCTTGACCATGCATCATGCGCGTCCTTCGCCGACCGCACCAGCGGCAGCTGCGAGTCCTCCAACGCGAGACAGACGATCGCCAGCGCCTTGCGCGACTTCTTGCGAAACGTCGCTTGGTCCGCCGCGGTCGTGCACTGCTCGAGCTTCACTTCCCCACTCGTCACTTCCCACAGTTCGCGCTCCTCCAGCACCATCTGCATCTTGAACTTCCATGTGTGGAAGTTGGTTCCGTCGAACTTGTTGATGCGGGCGGTCGCGGTCGGGGCGGCGTCCATGGCGAAGGCGTAGTCGGGGTCTTGGTCAGGGAAGACGGGGCTTGGGCTCATAACCAAAAGGAAGAGCACTTGAGCAGTAGTTGGCAAAATGCAAAGTGATTCGATTCAGGTCCTTAGTTCGCAACCGCGTGCTACCTCTAAGCCTGCTACTGGATACCTCTTACTGGATACACCCTACTGGATTCTCTACTGGATACACAGTTACCTTATCCAATCAGAGAACGCCACGTCGATGCCCATCTTGTACCCACAATCTTGGCGTAATCACCGTGACGTAATCATCGTCCCGTAATCACCTGAATGATTGCGGTACCACACAGTGAAGGTCACGCCGACCTCACTGATGACGCGTTCGCGTCACACGGTCGCTTGGCGGGGCGTCGTCACATCAGTCTTGACAACAGACTCTTAAGTAACTTTGCAGGGGATGAAGTCAATGATGGGGGTTATTGCGGCAGCACTTGGCTTCCATGAAATGGAGCTTCCCCCCTGGTTTGTGCCGCCCTACCATGGGCAATGTGAAGAACAGCCCTTCGGGAGTGGACAGTGCGGATCGCTGCACGTCCAAGAACTGGACGATCAGGGCGAAGCGGTGGTGAAGTTTTTCCATGTGGATGATGGAGTAATCGACGAATGTGTGCGGCGAAAGATTGCGAAGGAGCTGGATGTGATTTTCGAGATGGATCGGGCAAGATGCTTTGTAGCTCGCACGCCAGTTCGCTACCGTTTACTGTTCACCGGTTCGCGAGCAACGGCAATCTTCGGTCGTTCTTGTCCCGCTCGGAAGATAATAAGCGCAAAATGTGGCGGCTGCTGTACCAAGCAGTGCTGGGGTTGAAATACATCCACTCCAAGGGTGTGACCCACGGCAACCTGAAGCTGTCCAATATCCTTGTGGATGCAGACGGCAATGCACAACTGGCGGATTTCGGACTGCATACTCTACGAACTTGTGCCACCCTGTCGTCGGATGCTCCACAGGAATCAGGCACGGATAAAGTTTACTGGCTAGCCCCGAAATACTTGGCAAGACGACCGACGTTTGCATCGGATATGTATTCATTTGCGATGTGTATGTTTGAAGCTGTGACCGAAGAACCTCCTTATGCGCTGTTATGTGGCGGTGATATTCGTGATTGCGTAAGAAGCGGGGATACCCCAGGCAAACCCGATGGAATGACCGACGATGACCGACAAAGACCCAGAGAAACGGATATCGCTACCTCTGGTGCTTAAGAAACTGAAAGATCTTGCAAACTGGGAATCTATGGGGAGACCTCTTACGGCTAAGACGTGCAGTGGGTGTTCTTTTACGATTTCGGCTGGTTCTCGATTTTGCGCGGAGTGCGGACTACCAGTTACCGGTACCCGGGAACTCGCTCAAAGTTGTACGCAGCGTGCGACTTTAGAGCTTGCCTGCGAGAAATCTGTCGAGGCACTGATCAGTGCAATTCTCGTTGGCGATACGGATCAACAGGAGCAAGCTCTTATGCGCCTTTACCAAAAATGCTGCGACGATGACCTGCGCCAACAAATGTACGACTCAAATGGAGTCCCTGTACTAGTCGAAATTGTGAAAAACGGCCGCACACATTTTGGGCAACTTGGTGCGCTTGGGTGTCTTACCTGGGCGGGCCAAGATTCCCGAATGTCGTCACAAGAGCTGCTATCGCTCTGCGATTTGGTTCGTGTTGCCACGGCTGTTGGGTGTACCGCTATGGGGGTCAGTATGCGTCAAGGCAACAACGAAGAGAAAATTAAGGCGATTGCATACTGCACGTTTGTTGCTGCTGCAAATGGCCAAAATGAGCTTTGAAAAGCTGGAGTTGTGGCACCTCTAATCGAGTTACTGGCAAATGGAGGCGAGATGGAACAGCTGTGGTCCGTCAGCGCGCTTGGGCATTTAGCCAACAACGACACAAACCGTCTTGCACTTGTTCGAGATGGAGTCATCGCGCCGGTGGTACACGTAAATCGAGCTGGCACTGTTCTTCTCAGGGAACGATCACTCTGGGCGCTAAGTCAGTTTAGTGTTACTAAGGCGTGTTGTGGTGTGCTTTCAACGGGAGGTGCGATTTCGTGCTTTGTCACATTGCTTCGTGAAGGTAGTGATACCGAGAAACGCCACGCCGCGTTTGCACTGGCAAATATTTCATTGTCCGGTACAGCTAACAAACGCGTCATAGTCGCGGAAGGTGCTTTACCTGCTTTCGCGATGCTGCTGCGACGTGGAACTGATATCCAGAAGACCTACGTGCTGCGAGCGCTGGGGGAGCTGGCGGTTGATAAGGAAAATCGCGACTTAATCATGAGTGAAGATATAGTCACGGCTGTTGTGGCTATTGTTTCTAATGGCCCCGATACGCAGAAGTTGACGGCAGTGCTGGCTTTGGGTAATTTGGCTGCAGATGTGGGCAACATTGAAGCTATAACGCGTTCAGGAGCCATACCGGTGCTTCTGGATCTATTGCAGCATGGGGGTACAAGACCGAAAGAGCAAGCTGCGCGATGTCTAGCGAATATATCGCTGGATTCTGAAAGTTGCAGCAGAATTGTTGATGCACAAGGTGTGTCACCTCTCGTAGCACTTCTGCAAAGCGGAACCACTACACAGAGGGATAGTGCGGTACGGGCTTTGGCGAACCTCGCGCATAATCCTGCAAGCAGAGACCAAATTGCTCGGGAAAACACGCTTTCCTTGCTTGTGACACGACTGCGTGGGGATACTGATTCTCAAAAGTACCATGCAAGTCGAGCTCTGGCTAATTTGGCGCTTGACAAGGAGAACTGGAGCAACCAAAAAGTCCAGGCAGCACGGGCTGTTGCAAATTTGTCTATCCCCGCCTATCCCCGCCGAAAGCCGTCATCTGCTTGCCAGTGCCATCACGCCTCTTGTCGCTCTTCTTCAATACGGAACGGATGTGGAGAAGGACCAGGCATCTCGAGCATTGGCTAGTCTAGCCGGTGATGAGCACAATCGTCCCTTGATTTTAAGAGAAGGAGCTGTTCCGACTTTCGTTATGCTCCTTGAACGAACCTCAAGCTGTCCAATATCCTAGTGATGCACAACTGGCGGATTTCGGACTGCATATACTCCGTGTGTGCGCTACCTAGTCATCGAAGGCTCCGCGGGAAGTAATTGCGAATAACGTCCGCTGGCTAGCCCCGGAATGTTTGGCTGGGCGATCGACGATTGCGTCTGACGTGTACTCGTTCGCCATGTGTATGGTTGAAGCTGTGACTGAAGAACCCCCTTACGCGTTGATAAGTGCTGATGATGTTCGTAGCTGCAAAGAAAGTGGAGAAATCCCGGACAACCCTGATGAAATGGCTGACGAAGTTTGGAAGCTCGTCGTGTCGATGACCGACAAAGACCCAGATAAACGTGTTCCACTTTCTGTCGTGGTTGCAAGTTTAAAAGCTTGGTCAGACTGCGAATCTGCCGAGAGATCTCTTACGGCTAGTGTTTGCTGTGAATGTTCTACTATGATTTCGGCTGGTTCTCGGTTTTGTTCGGAGTGTGGAGTACCAGTGTTTTCTTCCTTTCAAACGACGCACAATAATCAATTGAACCGTGCACACGATACCCCGATCGCAACATCCGAATCGACCTATGAACACTCTATCGAGGACCTGATCAACTCAGTTCTCGTTTGTGGCGTGGATGAACAAGTGCTACGAAGCCGTGCTGCGCGGTGCTAGCGGCAGGAGGTGCAATTCCGTGCTTCATCACACTGATTCGCGAAGCTTACTCAGCGCCCAGACTGACCGCACCCTGAGAACACCAGTACTGGCTCGACTTATAGCTACCACAGGCGCTACGGCTCCATCCCGAGCAAGTTCAAGACGACTTGTTTCGTTGCTGGCCAATTAATTGTCCAAGAGCACTAACTGACCACAGCTTTTCCGCTTCATCACCATTCACCAGTACTTTGACAAGCGGCGCCACAACACCAGCGCGTTGGAGCAGGTCGTGGCCGTCTGCACCAGCAACACACGTGCAGTAAGCCATCGCCTTAATTTTCTCTTCTTTGCTGCCTTCACGCATAGTGGCCCCCATTGCAGCACACTCATCGGCCGTGGCGCCACGAACGAATCCTCGAAGCGAAGCGAGCTCCTGTGGGGAGACTCTGTTTGCCGCATTCAGGCATCCAAGTGCACAAAGTTGCGCGAAATGTGTGCGACCATGTTTCACGATTTCGACTAGACGGTAATGAGACTGAGAAAAATTATGCGGTGCTTGGACTTGCAAACATTACTTGGTCCAGCAAGACCAATAGAACCATCGAAGGTGCCATACCTGTTCTAGCGGCACTGCTACGAAGTGGAACACAACCCCAGAAGGAATTCGTGGCTCGGGCTGTGGCTAATCTGGCGATCGATAAAGAAAATCACGGCTTGTTAATGGGCGAAATATTGAAACTATTGTGACCCTCCTTCGTGATGGATCGTGTTCTCAGAAATACAGCGCAGCACGAACGTTGGCCAATTTGGCAACAATTGGGAACTCTGGTGCTATTACGCAGGCAGAAGCCATACCGCCGCTTGTTGGTTTGTTGAGGCATGGGAGTGAGACCCAGAAAGATCAATCCACACGCTGTTTGGCGAAGCTGGCGAAGGCTGCTACAAGTTGCAGCAGGATAATTGATGCACAAGGTGTACCGCGCCTCGTGACACTTCTGCAGCAGTTCACAGCAGGATCATGCAGCACGAGCGTTGGCGAATTTAGCTCAGCATGATGCAAGTCGACGTGCAATAGCCAACAAGACGACCATTTCGTTACTTGCGACGCGGCTCCGTGGAGGTTCTGATACCCAAAAGAACCACGCAAGTCGAGCTTTGGCCGCCTTCGCAATCGATAAGGATAACCACGCTATAATCATCAGCGTAGGAGCTGTCTCGATATGCATTGCAACTCTACAAAGTGGGAACGATAAAGCAGAAAGTTCAAGTGTCGCGAACTCTGGCAAATTTAGCTGCTGATACTGGGAACCGCAGATTACTTGAGTGTGCGGCCAAACCCCTTCTCGCTCTTCTTCAATACGGAACTGAAGCACAAAAGGACCAGGCGTCACGAGCATTGGCTACTTTAGCCTACGAGGAGAGCATCCGACCCTAGATTGTAAACGAACGAGCTGTCGCGGCGTTTGAGAAGCTTCTCCGACAGGGTAGAAGTATCAGGCTTCGCGGGCTTTGGCCGGCATAGTCTGGGATCTTCGCCGTGCTGCTACTATATCCCGTGAAGGAGCTACCCCCCTCTTATCGAGTTACTAGGAGAAGGAGGAACGAAGGATCAAACCACTCGAGCCGCTCGAGTATTGGCAGATTTGGCCCGAGATTCGCAAATCCGTGTAGAGGTTGTGGCTTCGGGTGTCATCCTGCGTCTCCTAGGTATTCTTCGCGCTGGAACTAGCAGCGAGAAAGCAGAAGTCATACGGATTCTGATAAACGTGTGCGTAGACCCGTCCATTGCGCTCCTGTGGCGCCTGCAGGATTCATCCGGCCTCTGGTGGAGCTTCTTACACATGGGGAAGGTGTCGCAAGGAGTATTCTGCACAAGCGCTACGAAATCTGACCCAATCCGTGGAGAAGTTGGTGTTGGAGCGGTCGAGCCATTAGCGACGCTCCTTCGTAATGGCACTGACGGTGAAAAACAGCAAGCCGCTTTAGCACTGCGAAATCTCGCTACTAACCAGCCTGGACACAGAGCCGCAATGACACAGCTAGGCGTGGTGGCCTTACTTAGACTGGACTACACAATGGGTTGGGCCTTGCTACAGGTGGCTGGGTGAATAGTGCTGTGACTAGAGGGACAAGACTGCTAAGAGACGTTCTTCGGTGGGAGATTCCTGTTTCCGGACAGATTATCTTTCATGCGACTCACGAAGACATGACGCCAGTTTTGCGAGAGCTCATTATACTTCTCCTCGTCTGAAACACAGCGCAGAGGAAGCCTTAGGAGAATTGGTTGAGGCGTCTTCGAAACGATCGTGTCGCGGCTAGATGAACCGGATCTGGGCTGCATGGCGCTGCTGCTCCTGGCACAACCCAGAACGGCAATTTTCTTCCTGGGAGCACGCGAGACAAGAATCTGCCGAGTAGTGGAATCGACAATTCTCGTTTCGTGACGCTGTTATGACTTCGTTCCCCTACTTCAGCTCGGCGTTGATTTCGTTTTAAGTGAAGGCGAGCCAACAATTAAGATGATAAAGATTCCGAGTCCGTGACCTTCGCCGTGGTGGCTCAAGGTTCGAATGCCATCAGCACTTGGCTGCGAACTACTTCTTCGAAGTATTTGTGACCAAGAAGACTGGCAGCAACTCCACGAACTCCAACCAGCTCCGAAGGTGCTGCAAACCATTATTGGGTACTTAGTATTCCAAATTTATCAGCCATTTGCTGAATGGGGCTTGCGCAGTGCAATTCCACCTATGAAACCCTTTGGCATCATATTAGCTACTACTGTAGCTGTCTGTACAGCCAGTGGAGGTGAGATCCGCTTGTATCATTCTAAAATTGCTTTCTCTCTGGAATGGGTGATCCTTTGATAGGTACAACCCGTGTCATTTACCAATTCTATTGAGTCGTTTTGCGTACATACTTTCAGCGTGGAGAAAGCGGTGGAGACCTCATTCTTTCTTAATGTGCACCCGTCCCTTGAGATAGTAATCGTAGAATTCGTAGTTCGGTGCTGCTTTCAGTTCGTCTCCTTCCAGATTCTTCAACCCCAACTGGTTCTTGACATAGTCCTCCGGGCGCAGGTTCTTGGTCCAGATTTGCGTCTTGATTTGCAGCTCTCTGACGGAGGCTTCCTTGCTCACAAGGTTCGGCGGTATCTCGGCATTCTCCATCGTCAACTTGAGGATGTAGTCGTCCAACAGGTTGACATACTTCTCGTAGACCTTGTAGGGTTTTGAAGTCCTCAGCTTAATGTCGCGATAATCAGATAGCTTCAGCATTTGCCAGATATCGAACGTGGTACGGCGCTGCTTGAGCCAGCCATGCAGTAGATACTCCTCCCCCTTCTTTTTGTATTTGTTGAAGAAGAGGAAGTTCGGGTGCATTTCAAGCGTCCTTCCAGCCAATCCCTCCAGACCCAGCCTCTTGGATACATCATCATAGGAAGTCCAGTCCTCTGCCCACTCTTTCAACTTCCTCTTGACAAAGTACTTGTAGTCCCCGTAGTTCGGGTGGGCGAGCACAGCTTCAGCAGAGAGACCGTTCAGGTGAAACTTTCCCATCACTTCCATCACAGAAGCGTCGTCCCTTAGCCAGACCCGAATCTGGTTGGCCACAAACTCTTCGTAGTACTTGAAGTTCAACGCTTTGGTGCGCTCCGCTTCAGCCAGCGTGTTCAATCCAAGGCGCATCAGGGCATCATTAAGAGTGACCTCGTCTTTCACCCACACCAGCGCTTGGCTATTCAGATATTCGTCGTAATACTTGAAATTCGGGTGTCTCTCGAGAACATTGTCCGCCAGGTTTAGAAGACCCAACTCCTCCTTGACCTCGGTCGGCGTGAGCTGCTTCTTGGTCCAAACCGGCAGTTGGGAGGTCACAAAGTCGTCGTAGAACTTGAACTTCGTGGTCTTTTTGCGCGCGGCCTCAGTCAGGTCGTCCAGGGTCGAGAGCATTAGCTCCTGTCTGACAAACTCGACCGACTTCTCGTTCTTGGCCCAAACTTGCAGCCTCGCCTTCAGTGGTAGCACGGGCGACACGTGTTCGCTAAACGTTCTGCCGGCTCGACTGAAAGTCTTCTTGATCGACTTGAATGTGTTGAGAGACTTGAGCGACTCGGGCACAACTCGATCTTCCGAGTCGACATCAGCGTCGCCGTCTTTGGCCTCGGCATCCGTCTTGTCCGCTCTCAAGAACTGCCTCGCGGTGGTCTCAGTGACGATAGAGGCCACAGCTGCGGTCGAACTCACCTCAGCTAAGTCTGCAGCCGATGAGAGAGCATCGCTGCTGGCGAGAAGTGAGGCCGCCACGACGAGCAGAGCGGGGTACCAACGCATAACTTCGAGACTGGTGATCCTGTGCTGCCACGCCAACCAGTGGAGTTGTCAGCTTGTGAACTTTCCTGAGCAAAGCTTCGGATACATAGTGCAAAGCTCAAGAAAGTCAAGGCGAAGTACGTACTTAATGTAAATACGCAACCAACCGTACCGGTACAATAATACACCGCTCGCTCGCAATCTAAGGACACAATCCGAGGCTTTGCTGCTGAGCCATGTGGTAGTTTCTCACTTGGTTTCACACTGCTGCATTGTGGAATCCCCCAGAGGGAATTTCCTCACACAGAATGCCCAAGATCACAAATTCGTTGATCAAAGCACTGCTTGCGTACCCTAATAACCGTACCTTATGGTGAAGAATTCGTATATTCGAATGGACAAAGTTGTGATTCTCGTGATACGTAACTTATCGACTGTGAGTGATGTATCGCACTGCCAACAGTGCTGGAAATTGCACTATTCTATTCTGGCAGAAGAAGTATATTTAGGGTACGTTGTATTGCCACGGCAGCACACTTTCGTACCGGTACATGTATGCTTAGAGAAAGCCGAAAAGGATGGTGAGAAGTTTGGGTTCATAAACAGGGGGAGGTGATATCGAGTCGATATTATCGACAGCGGGCTTCCCGCTAACTGCAGCCGGGAGCGAGGACAGGCGCAACAGTACTGACAAACGTTGGTACAATGCTAACGTTCAGTGAACGGCTTCAATACATGTAGCCTACCTGTAGCTAGCTATCTGGGGTGTAAGTATGCGGAGAGCTGGCTTGAGTCTTCGCTATGAACAGTGGTAGGCTGTGTCTTGTTTTACTAAGTCCCACCACTACAGGCATTCACACTTAGGCATGCATTTCGGTACCCTAAGATATGCACGAAAGAATGCTATCGGTAAACCTCAAAATAGACGTAAGCTGGATAGAAGTACATGTGAAACCTATGAGCTTTATCGTCGGCTGTAAAATGCCTTACGATACACGTAGAAATTGACAAAATAATGGCGACTGCAGGCTCATGAGAGGCCAACCAAATGCATGACACTCTATTAATAATGCGGATCCATGATCTACCCAAGCGGATCGATGATCTAACCAAACTGATCGATGATTTACCCAAGCGGATCGATGATTTACCCAAGCGGATCGATGATTCACCCAAGCGGATCGATGGCACTACCGAAGCAGATCGATGACACTACCGAAGCGGATCGATGATCTACCAAAGGGGATCGATGATACTATCTAAGCGGATCTAAAATCGTGCTTACGTCTTAGTATGCAGCTTATGACGGTGAGTACAAGTATTGCACTGCTGTAGTCGACTTACCTTTAGAGGTGGTGGAGTTATCGACAGCGCAGTACGCTCGTGAAGCAGTTCTTGTCTGGGGCTCCAAACAGGAATTCCATACGAACTTCTAAAACGTACCAACGCTTGTCAAAATATGCAAATCGATCCCAAAAGCATATTTCTGTACCAGCTGCCCGTTTTTGTTTTTTTGCATCTGTACGGCTAATATAGGAATTTGTATGTAGCCCCGCTGCACTTAGCGGGGAGCCCGCTGTCGCACCTGGTTGCAAAGCGTACCTTCACTCATTCCGGTAGCTAATACAGTACAGTAGCGAATAGCATTTAATGTACATATATTGTTTCAGATAACAGAAGAACAGATCCCATCGAGCATCTTCGAATCTTCTGTCGCGGATCCGGACGTCTCGTATTATACGAGTCGTATAAAATGACCACGTGCTTACCAGTGGTAAGTTACCTCGACTCGCGTTACAGCACCTTTAATGCGACCGCACAACATCTGCCTAAAGCGCCTTTAAGCCCTACGGCGCCTTTAAGCCAAAAAGAGGGGTGAATCTGGGGGTGCTGCAGTGTACTGGAACAAACCCCTGCAATTAGAAAACTAACACCGAGTTGCGGCAGCGGGTCCATCCGCTGGAATACCTGATGCAGGACCTACCTCCGCAAAATCGCGCAGACCTGCTTTACGAGCACTCCGCGCAGGTTTGCTTGCTGTGGCAACGTGTCCTCACAACAGCTCCCAGATGAGCCCATGACACCCGTCCCGCTGCTATCCGTCAATACAAATCCTTTATTATTCTGATCTGTGTAAAGATTTGCTTCTGTACACAGACTTTGCACCGATTGCTAGGGCGCCCTTAGCTTTACGGCGCCATTACAGTGTAGGTTGGCTTTGGAAATGGGCACCCCGAAGGAGTCCCTGAGGAGGCGGGGGTCCTGCTAAGTGCCTACTTACACTCCGCCGATGCAAGCTAGTGCGTTCGATAGCTCTAACATACCTATATGAAGTACACGTGTTCAATATGCTAGTGGCTGCAGTTTTCATATCAAACGGATCGCGCTGTCAATCAGCTACAGCAGCAGGAAGACAGCAGCCAGCGCTGCCCCCTCGAAACGAACTTACATCACTCAAAAAGTATTCCGGAGCTTACGAGAGCATTGATCTTAGACGCGACCTTCCAGCTAATAATCGCTGCTTCCGCATGCAAGGAACCGAGACGCCTGAAAAGTTGTTGAGACCCCATCTATACATGTAGATATTGGACCATGGTACAAGTACTGTAAATGTGGCGACTTTCGGTGACCGGGCTGTATTGGTCACGCTGAAGCAGTTTGTATGTGTCAGAGCAACGCGATGCAGCGCCATTGCAGAGGTAACTCGAGGTAGTTAGAGCACCTTTAATGCGACAGCACAGCAGCACCGTTAATGGCGCCTTGGGCGCCATTAGTAAAGCAGCTGGTTTTCAGGTTGGAGGGGAATATGTAGACTGTTGCCTCAGCTTTCCAACGTCCGAAACGGTGCTAACATTGACTGTACGCAGCACGTAAGCCTGCACCTGGACAAACTTTTGGTACTGCCTAGCTGGCAACGCACAGAACGCCTTCTGCGGATCTTCGTGCTAGCATTTTCCGGTTGCTATACTACATTTGTCTACCTAGGTGTTAATACTCTGTGTGTTTTTAGCGCAATGATTTTGTGTACAAATGCGAGCCACGCGGCGTGGCCCACGCCCCCATGCACACACAGGGAAGTTCAAGCTTTGGTAGATTTGCCACCACGTAGCACCACGGCAGTTCGGTTTCTGAATATTTAACGAAAAGTTCTATAACCGCACCGACTTATACAAAATCATTTTGGTGACAAATTACGGTTACGCTTTACTTATGTTGCGCAACCTCTATTGCCGTTTGCAGATAGTTTGGCCAACGCATGCTTATTATCTCGTCAATAATCTCGATTTTAACCCAGCCAGCTCTTAATTAAGACCTAGGTCTGATTTTTATATTCTCTGGATTTTATCCAGAGTTGTTATGGCGATACGACTGCAGGTGCAAATCACTATAAAAATGCATGCTCCGCTATCGGTTAAAAACGAACGGGTCATTAACGTATCGGAACGTACCCGTTAACTTTAATAAACGCTTGGATAATATATTATCAGCGGCGTGTTGCTTGAGTCTTTTAGGGTCGACATTCACGTGACACGATCGATCGAATGTCGCTCGACCATGACTCCAAACATAACTACAGTTGTGTTTGCAGTACGTGTATGTTCAACGATGTTACATCGGTGTCGCCACGTTCAAGTCATGGAACGACATCCACGAACACCCACGACTTCAATTTAAAGTCGTGGGTGTCGTTGAAGTCTTCAAACGATGCTTGTAACGGGCCAGGTGTGTGTCCGTTACTAGCTTACACGTAGCGGTGAGGAAGCTTAGTTAAGACTCGGATTTTGTGAGATCAAGCAGTCAGTCTTGGGTAAAATCAACTCTGTTTATGTAAGGACCAGGGCGGCTACCCCTGGTCTCATGTGAGCCACTCAAATGTAAGTCAACGCCTGATTGGCTGAAATGGGGTCTGGCTTCCCCAATTCAGCCAATCACGATGACCGTCAGTACACGCTAGCCGTGTACTGACTTAACTACTTTATGTACTGTCAATCTACCTACTTATGTAAATGGGGCCCATTACATCATCTCCCTCTCAAAGTTGCGCTTACGTTGCGTAAGCGCAAAAGACACATTTCCGAAAGAACACTCGAAGAACACCATGGACGACCGAGGTGGCGGAGGGACGGCGCACGTGTTACCGAGCGCCACAGGACGACGCAGGCGCAGCAAGCTTACACACACCAAGACATCTCGTCGGCGCACACGCCGAAGCAACGCGCAGCGCCCCAAAGTGGCTGCGGACATCCACGGACACCCGAAGGGACGGCGGTCGTGGCAACGACGCAGCATGGGAAGCGACACCAACGCTTGACGACAAGCGCAACTGTGATTCGCACAGAGCGGAGACCCGGCGAGTGTCGAGACACAAGATGGCGATCAGCGTGGCGTGGTTCTTCGCGACGACCCTTAGAAGTAACTCCCGACGAAGAGTCGCGTAACCATCGACTCGAACCGACGTGGCAGCGAGACCAGCTTGGACATCTTCGACACCGGCGATCATCGGTGGAGCGGCGTAGTGGGCAAGCGCTCACCGTGCTGAGCTGTGACGCGTGGGTTCGAACCCCACGCGAATCCTTCTTGTCGTTTGCCATGCGCAGTCGCTCCAAGCTTGATCAGGTCACGCGCGTCATTGTGGGGACTCAAAGTCCAGCTAGCGTAGTGGTCTAACGCTGCGCCACCAAGGCGGAGGTCACCGGTTCGAGTCCGGCGGTCGTCGTCGGGTTTTCTTCTTAGTCTTCGCGGTGAACGCCACCGCGAGCTTGCGGTGGGGGTTCACTTCCATCATCACGCTCACTTAAGGCTTCAGCTTCCGCGGGGAGCTCCGTGGTTTTTTCAGCAGCAGCGACCTTCGCCTCATAGTCACGGACAACATCGGGGACATCCCGAAGAAGAGCTGCGCGCGTCTCCCACGTGTCCTCGTCAGGTGGAAACCCAAGCCAGCGTACTCGGTAACGTCCCGCGGCTGGGATCGCACGAGGAGCTCGGGCTGGATTACGCCCACGCCCGTTTGCACGAGATGG